AAGCTACTGAGAAAACTCACCATAAATCTCACCACTATTTCCAATTAGTAGTTGCTCTGGAGAGTTCAGTCATACAGTATCACATGATCTTCAAAGCGGACCTTGTGGTTTGATTGTTTTCTCTACTGCTGTTTACAAGCTCAAGAATGAACTTCAAATCTCCGTTTGAAAGTTGTTTTCATATGAATTTGTGTAAATTATATATTCTATAAATAAATGTGGTTCTAAATTCATTCATAATATATATATATTTTTTTTAAGTCAGAGGGGGGAGAGGTAGAAAATAACACAACCAGTGACACTGCCCATCACAACAGTGAGCGAAGTGTCAGCTCTGATGTTACTTTAGCTTAACTAAGGTGGTGAATATATCAGATTCATATTGTCCTCACTGTACTTGTCCTTGTTCACCTGTAGCTGTGCATCTGTAGAATCATCTGCTTCCCAAAGTGGGTTTTTTAATGTTTGTGACGTCAAACTGATTTGTCCAATTAGCACCACAGTGGGACTTGGGAGCGCACAGTGCTTAAGCAATAGTATATGATTAACCAGCCCACATGAACTGTGCCATACGGTGGAAATATTAGTGGTATTGGCACGACATGGTTTGCTTCTGCAGCTGAACAGACCCTAACAGGAGCTTTTGGCCAGATTTTGGCCAGCTGTAGTAACCAATTTGTCTTTCCCCTCTTCTCTCACCCCTCTTCTCCTGCCCTCTCTCCACTCCTCTTCCTCCAGTTCACTCGTTTCCTGCGTCCACTTGTGCCTGCAGACGCAGCTGCGATGATGAATCTGTGGCTGCAGTGTGTCTGTGTGTCTGACATTGTGATGTATCTCCACTGGCCTTAACTCCCTCTCTATCTCTCTCTCCCTCTCCTCTTCCTCCTCCCCCCTCAAGTCTCCTTTTCTCTCCATCTCTTTGTCTCTGTCTCTCTGTCTCATTCCCTCTGTCTCTCTCTCTCTCATTCTCTCACTCTCAATGATTAGGCATTGCCTGGCCTCCTGCCTCAGTGATGGAACAGACAGAACACACAGACCCACCACTAACAACAACAACAAACAGGAACTGAGCTCCGCGATTTGCCCATTGATTTTCACTGGGGGCATTTCTGAAATAGCCCATCTGACCTTTCGGCCAAATGGTAGTGAATGGAGGAAACAGAGGCACTAGACTGCTCTGCCTCTCTCACGTGAAACCTCTGCCAGCGACCATCTGACCAGTAGGTTGCTGGTGCAAATAGAAATACACAATTAGAGGCCTGGCAAAATAAATGTACAAGGCTAAACGACCTGCTGGAGACACCTAGAGCCTACAATGTTCATTATACCCCAAAATACTGAGTAAAACAGTGCACTGATGATTTTGGTATTCCTGGTAACATTGTAGGTCAGATCTAGAGAAAAGGCAGTGGAATCATTAAATATGATTTTAAAAAGATTGTTTCGCCTCGGTAGCACAAACTCAGCTCTGTAAACTTAATGGCCATGTGTTTGCTAGATTGTGAGATATTTTGTGACCAAAGCTAACATCTCGGCCTGAGGGTGGAACAAGCAGAAAGCTCATGGATTGTCCAAAACGAAAAGGGTTCATCCAGTAGGGAGCGTGAATGTGTTCAATAAACGGCACAGCAATCTGCTTTCTCATGTTTCAAGTGGAAGTTTTGGCCTGATGGTGGCACTAGAGCAGGCGATTCAGTGAGGTGTGCCTCTCTGGGGGGGGGGGTTAGGATGAAAGGAACCGGTGCATGACAGTGTTCAAAACTTAATTGATTATTGTGGGCTGGTCACTGATTTGGCCTGGTTATTAACAGGGTCAGCAGTTGGAGCAGTGTCTATGGCACACAGCTCATGGGGGATGTTATGGTAACACTTACCACTTCACCGCTGCAGTTTGCATTAAAAGCTGTACTCCTTGTCGAAGTTATGATTCAATCATATCTGATGATTAATGGGAGTTACTTTTTCCAAAGATACCATATCTGTGATGTCTGATGCAAATGAACATCTACAAATCTGCTCAGAAATCACAGGAAAAGAAAGTTCCTTATAACTCCAGAACTTGCCTGAGAATCATCACAGTTTTAAATTTTTGTTTGGTATCAAAGTAATCCAGTGATATTCACATCCATGTAGTGCTAATAGCTTATTTGGCATATTTTACAGCATTTAGTGTCACTGCACTATATATAACACTGGATCCCAGTGTTATATTGACTCTGGGTTCCACCACCCACTCATTTTAGATTATGAGGTAAAAATCTATTCAACCAAACTTGATCTTATATATATATTTTTCCAACCTGTCCTTATTGTCACCATGTTCATGTTTATGGACTGTGAAAAGGTAAGAACTAATAATACTGTTATGCTATCAGGCTAAAGGAGAGCCTCTAAGCAATGCTAGTGATTTAGCCATTCAGGCACCTGCGATGTAGCCTGTGTGGAACTACAGGGTGTGAGCGATATCACCGTCACAGAGCAAAACACTTTCACCGACTAAAACCTGGGTATGATGAAGGATTGTGGCTACACATAGGAAGTTTGATTCCTCCTCTGTTGCTCCTCTGAGGTTTCTCCCCTCTTTTGTGTAGTTTTTCTAAATCCAGTGGTTTAAAGATGAAGGTGTTGCATCTTGTGCAGACTGTAAAGCCCTTTGAGGCAGAGGCTTTATTTTGGGTTATGTAAATGAAATTGCTTTGACTTGACATTCAACCTGAGCTTGACGGTTCATACCATTTATTTGCTGCTTATCTGTTAATTCCTGATCATCGGCCTTCGCACTAGACTCCGGTCTGCAGCGGCATTTTCACAACACACTGCACCTGCCTTTTTAAAAACAAATCATGCACCAGCCCAATTTACACGCCGACACTTAGCTCAAGTATATAACACGCTGTAATTCCTTCTCTCCAAAATGGTGATTGTTTGGTGGTGGTGGTTGTTTTGTGTGTGTGTGTGTGCATATGTATGTATATGTGTGTGTGTGTGTGTGTGTGTGTGTGTGTGTGTGTGTGTGTGTGTGTGTGTGTGTGTGTGTGTGTGTGTGTGTGTGTGTGTGTGTCTGTGTGTGCATGATCAGGGACAGGGGCTTAAAGAGAGGCTGGCTCCTCTGCCCGTCGCCTGGAAGAGTAGCTCGGGCTCATTATCCTGATGAAATTTGCGCAGATGTGTGAGCTGCCGACAGACTCTGCAGTGACACAAACAGCCAGCTCTGTCCCCTTGAGCCAGTCAGGTGATGAAAACTGGAGAGGCACGGGGGCTGAGAAACGACGGCCATTAAGCAAAAAAGAAAGAGGTGAGGGAGGGTGGAAGCGGGGTGTTGTGTGTGTGTGTGGGGGGGGGGGGCAGTTAAGGGGCTGGGAGTCTTCCTTATCTCTATCTAGTGGGAGAAAGCATTACATAAAGTAACAACTTCCAAACCACCTTCTTAAAATTCCAGATGAAAATGAAAATGTGCATACGTGCAACACTGCGTCTCCTCACGAGGCGCTAATCTGGCCGTATCCAGATGACGAGCGGTCTGCCACTTAACAGGGAGGAGATCCACTTTGATCACATGGCCCCTGGGGCAAACCTATCGCGCTGCCTATTACGCTGCTTCATTTGCATATGTGGGGCTTATGGGTAGGCTGCGATCTAGTGTGAATGTTTTAAACTGCGGCAGGGCTCACTGTTGCTAGAAAGAAATGTCCAGGAGAGACGCAGGGGAAAAGACAGAACGCTGCCAGTAGCCAGAGGTAAGAGAGAGTCCACTCGTCACTTGAGGGGTCACGAGTTCAACACCACAGACTGTTGAAGAAAATCCTGCCCACAAAACAATTCTCAGTTGCCCTTGAGCAAGGCATTTACAGTGTACACCTAAATATAGAGGTCCACATTAAAAGACAGTGGTTGCACTGGGAAGCTGTCAGGCGGAAAACTGAAGAACTGTGTGAGTATAAATTACGGTGTTGGTGAGAAAAGTGCATACGTGCTCAGTAAACTTTACCTGCATGAATAAATTTAATAAGAGAGCAAGTGACTCCTTAAGTTGTACATCAGCAACAACAACAACAACAACAGGTGAATGGTGCCTGTTTTATCCTCCTGCCTATACAGACAACTCTATGGAAGCTCCACGCAATCCTCTTGATCCTTGTTGCGAGCCAAGGACTAAAAGCACCCAGTGAAGTTATTCTGGAGTAAACAAAGAAAAAAAAAAACACAAATGCAATCTTCCGCTGTGACAGAACTATTTTGTTTGCGTAAACAACATTAACCAACCACTGAAAGAAGAGTGGTCTACTTTCTGAAATCCACCGGGAATTTTATTATATACAAAGACCCGCTCTTGAAATAAGGAAGATGTAGCACCGCACAACCAAAAGAAGTCAGTTGAAACATTCCCCAGTTTGCAACGCAGCGTGTTGTGCCTTGGCCTATTACTTGGAAAAAGGAAATAACTCTTTTTATGCCTTTGTACTTAGCATTAGTAAAAGTTAATGTGGAGCATGGACTGGTACGTCTGAAACCCTTATTCACCATACAGTTTTATAAGTGAACATCATGTATTTCTGCAGGTGGACTCATTTACATAGAGAAATAAACAGAAAATATATTTTTTATCTCTTTTAAACCACAAGGAGGTTGAGAGATCATACTTTTGTGTTACAACAAAATTAAAACAAATGTGAATCTAAGATAAGACACCAATGAGCCGAAAGTGACTGAGATGAGAAGGAATGATACAACAGTTAGTCAAAATTCAAACTGGTGTGAGATGAAGAGGCTGAAATTGACGGAGAAAAAAAAAAAAAAGAAAAGAAGAGGGTGGAGGAAATGCAGAGTCTCTTTCGTTCACAGAAAATAATTTTCCACACACGGGCATCAATCGGTGCGAATAATTCCTCAAACTTTTTTAAGTCCGACTTTAAATGGCATTACATATGTAGTGAGGCATGAAAAATTAATACGCTGGAGTCGGGGAAATGTCAAGGGTAATGATCTCCGCAGCAGCTTACCTCCTTAGCTTTCTGTTTCAGTCGAGCTTGCTCTGGGTCCTCTTGCCTGGAGCGACTCTGTGGAGTAAAGGGGAGGGGGAAACACAGGTTAACAGCTGGTTTAAGGAGCCCACCCCACCACCACCACCTACCCACCCCCCACTCTACTCATCTGTTGCTGCTGCAGCAAAAATAGTGCAAAATGGGAACAGGATACAGAGGTGTCAAGGACATCGTATTTGAATTCAGAGAAGTGCAATGGAGCGCCCCCCGGGGGGCAGTGGCCTTTAAACCCGCTCCAAATCCAGCCCTAAATAAGCCGCTGGAGGGGGATTCTAATCAAAAGAGGTTATTAAAAATTCTGCACGAGCCAGCACACACGCACACACACACAGTCACACACACACACACACACACACACACACACACACACACACACACACAGACACTCACAGGGCAAAGGATGTTGGTGAGTATCAGTGGCAGTGGCTTAGTGTGTGTGTGTGTGTCACTGTGAGCCAGTGTAGCTATCCAATGCTGTGCGTGTCTGTGTGTGTGCATGTCCCCGGCGTAACAACACAGCACTTCTATTTTAATCAGCAGCCAAGATCTGGGTGGATGTACTTGTCCCTGGGAATCCTTCACCACACGGCCAAATGTACATGTACGGCTGACCACTGCAGGCAATACGGGCAGATTATGTTTCTGCACACTAACTGGATGCAGTTAGTTATTTTGTGAGTTTGGACATAATCTGTGTAGTTATATTTTGGCTGGATTAGTCAAAATTAGGTCAGGTCCATGAAAACCTTCCTAATATTTTTGTGCAAACAAATAATCATGGTTCTCTTCTAAATCGCCATTCAAAAGGTGAAACAATTGTGAATGGATTATGCAATAAAATGTCTATTGAATATATTTTACAGTACAGTCTGTTCATGATATAGTTATAAATCTATTTTAGTTTCATAAATAATTTTTTACTTCTAATACCACATCAGTCAGATCAGGTGCTGCGCCTCCCTCCAAAGCTGGACACCCCACTCCCACCTCAACCCCATACGTCCCTGTCTCTCCTTCCTCTCTTCATCTTCTCCATCTTAAGCACCAAGAGCTGCTCTTCCTAGCCTTCCTGCTAATTGGCTTTAAATATATCAGGCGGTTCACGTACTGGTCGGTATCTCAACTACGACTAATGTGTTTGCCCTCCGGTCGGCCGGAGCATCCCTCAAGACTTGAGTCATATTTTAAATGGACGGCATAGAGGAGGGGAGGGATTGTTGTGAAGGGGAGGAGGAGGAGAGGAGACGGGGGTGGAGAGGATTATTTTTTGTGGGTTTCTTATTCAAGAGGTCAAATTAGCTGGCGCTCGAGCGGCAGAGAGGCAGGCAGGGAGGTGGGTGGCGGCAGGACGGAGGAGTGGGAGGGGTTGGTACAGATGGACTGTTTACAAAGGGCAGCGGTGCCACTGGCATGCTTTACATCTCCTCTGTCAGCTGCCCTGGTTTTCCCACTTACAGAGGGGAGAAGAGGAGAAGAGGACTGGGTGGGACATGCTGACAAGCTTTGTTGGGTTTGGGAGTTATTTTGTGATGACGAGCTGTAATTTTTTTATTTTTTTTTTCTACCTCGACCAGTTGTGTCTACTTTTACTTTGCTTTTCTTACATATCCCAGAATGACTTATGAAAACCACCAGAGGGTTGTACTTGTTTCATTTAGCTGTGGGTTGTATGTGGAAAGAGTAAAGTCAACTTGAATATTCTGTCAATATATTCTCCTGCATATTGAGTCCAGTGGGTGAGACCTGTTATTCCTCTTGCAGTAATCACACGCACATCTATAAATATGGTTATTCTCATTTGCTTTATAATGAAAAATACAATAAAATTAATATGAACGAAATGAATAACCATGAAAGAGCCAATGTCAAGCCTTACTTTACTCCTGTTTTTACACGAGAGCAGGGGAGTCATATATCGAGAAAAAACGAGAAAAGCCATTTATGCAATATGTCTCCTGGCTGCATAACATTACAGCGTTCTGAGGCTTATAATGTATTCAGTGATGGATTCCTCCCTGTATGGTCGTTGAACATTGGTCAAAAATGGAGGGTGCAAATAAAAAGGTCAATTTTTTTGCCTTTTTGGAGCTGTTTTTAAAGAATGAATGCCAAAATATGACGTTTAGGGTTTGGACAGTTGGCAGTTGGAGTAAGAGAAACAGAAAAAGTGTGACTGAACAACAAAAAAATTGACCAATGATGCATCCAAGGTTACATCATTAGTAAGTGCTCGTTTAAATCAGCCTGTGATACTGAGAGGGATTAGAGCCATAAACAGATGAACATACATGTGTCCGTACAATAATGAACAACGAATCAGCATGCAGTGTTGTAGAAACATTACTAGCTTGTTGTCCGGCAGTGTGTTGTTGTAGTAAATTTAGCGATCAACAGGCAAAAATTGGCTTTCCAAACTTCTCCTTGAACTGAAACGCCACGACAATAAGAGCCAAAAAGCCACAGACACGGCTCTGAGGTGAAGTCAAACTATCCTCATGCAGGCCAAATAGCCCCGGGGTCAGCTCTTCCTACACAAACTTGGCGATATTTGCAAAAGTTCTCCGCTAATCCTGTTAATGAGGAGAGCTCTTCACAGTTTAAAAGTTACACTGTTCAAACATGTAGAAGTAAAAACTGACAGAGAGGATCTAAAAGCTGAACTATCCCTTTTTTTTACAACACACTTTACGGTGTCGTTTCCTGCTGAGGCAATGTCTTTTTTTTTTTTTTTTCACAACCAGCAGTGAGGCTATCTGGTCTCTCCTAACAGAAAAAACAGACAGGTCATGAGGTCTGGTGGCCAGTGTTCATCAACTAGAGGATTTTCTAATATCCTGCATGGCAGGACTGGAGCGTAATAATGCAATTAAGACGCTGAGGTGTGCTGCAATGAGAATCTTTACTGTGGGACATTGGCTCCATTCAAAATTAATTAAATTAACCTAGCTTTCTGCTAATGTTGCACCGTGGGGCATTTTCATTTACAAAAGATTCTCTCTCTCTCTCTTTTTTTTTTTTTTTTGGTCTGTGGTGATCTTTCCAAATTTGAAGACCTCTTTTCACTGATAAACAAATGTCTCTACACGCACACAGGACCGAGTTAGAGTAGTGGACAGGTAACAATGCAAGGACCGTATTTGAAATAAGTAGTTTTAATACCATCTTAGAATGTTTGTGCAGGTATTCACTTTCTATATGGTTTATTTTATTGTGTCAAGTTATTATGAGCTTTGTGCACCAATGATCAATCTATAAATGTATAGTATTTTGCAAAGAACAGAGGGTCAGTGTATAAGCTACACCCTCTACACTGGAGATTATTACTATCATATCATTTCATGTGATTTACACTTGAGTTTCAGCTGAAAGTGTAAATAACAATCTACCACAAAAAGCTCATGAAATGGAGCCAGGAGAAAGAAATCACCATGAATTTTGAGGACTGTAGATTAATATTAGATATGGACCTTACTCTATTACAGACGTTTTAAATAATTCTCTGACTTGGCGGTGGATGTTAGCAGCTGGTAACTGTTGAAATGATGACCGACAATTACATTTCTCTCATTTCCTAACTAATTACAAGTCCATAAAATAACTTTCACCATCACTCAGGATGCAGTGAAAAAGCACTGCTTGTAGTTACGACTGTGTTTGAAGTGACGGAGCTCATCAGCATGTAGTGCGCGGCCCTCTTCCCCCACATCCACGCAACTTCAGCAAAACTGCATGTGTTGATTAAGTGATGATTTCTTTTTGTATTCTGACTGCCACCTTAATCTGTGCCATCGGCAATTTTAAATGTATTTTTGCAACAGCTTTGGTGCTAAAGAGTTATTGCTGTAGTAATATTTGAGTTGTACATTCAGCAGTGCAGCAGGTATTATGAGCATTTTTCCTTGGCCTTTCTATTCATAAAGTTTAAACTAAGCAGCTATCTCTGCTCATAATGACTAATGCAGTTTGTTCTAAACAAATCTCTGTTACTGCAGCTGGAAAAATGCAATTTTCCTGGTAAGAGTCTACTTAATACCAGATGTTTAGAGCAATATTATGTAAAAGCTGTATATACTGGTAGATAGATAGATAGATAGATAGATAGATAGATAGATAGATAGATAGATAGATAGATAGATAGAGAAATCACATGCTGGCTTTTCTGACACTCTGACAAATCTGTGCTCTTTTTAAAACGGATGCTCTGTTTCACCTGAGCTGTCAAGGCTTGTGAAAGAGGGATGTTTTGTAGGTTGTACGTGGCGCTGTGTGTGTGTGTGTGTGTGTGTGTGTGTGTGGCAGGTGCATGAGGGTTGCGTAGTGTGCGGGGTCCCCCACCCGCCCTCCTCCTCCTCCTCCTCCTCCTCCTCCTCCTCGTTGTGTCCGGGGAGGAAGAGCCAGGACAGAGGAGCCCTGGGGCCAGGAGCCTGGGAGGACACAGGGAGGTCACTTCATCCACTGGTGTCACACTCTAATTCATCTGTCAGGGCCTGCGCAGGAGCAACATGCACACACATATACACACACCAATACACAAGCACACACTGTTGCATTGGGACATAACAACTCTCTCTCTCTCTCTCTCTCTCTCTCTCACACACAAACACACAAACACACACACACACACACATAGCAGGATGGCGAGGTGACAATAACTTACTTTAGCGGCTTTCAACAGGATCTCTCTCTCCTGCTCGTCCTTCCTCTGCTTCTCGATTCTCTCCAGCTGCTCGAAGAAGCGGAGCTGAGAGCGAACGTCTGCAGACTGCTCGTAGCATTCATCGTCCTGACAGGCAGATAGAGAGAACATCACTGCAACGGTAACAGCTGGGAAAAAAAAAATCAGAGTCCCATTCGGTGACCGCTTCCGACGCTTCGGCCACAAATATTAGAACTTTAAGAAAGCCATCAGTCCATCTACACACAGTGAACGATCTCAACAGTAAAAGAAAAATTTCATCACCTATTGTAAACAAACTGCTACTGGTGATCTAGATGATCTGTTTGACCAAAGGAGGATAAGAACAGAGCATGGTAGTTAGATATTTGTCGAACATCAATGGCAGAAAATTGAGAAAGTCATAGAATTAAGAAATCTACTTTGACAGGATAAAACATGTCTCCACCAATCACCGAATAATTCAATAATTAGAGTCCACCCCTAAAACAGTAGTTATTGCTACACGTTAAGGGGCTCTCACAATAGCAGTGAATAGTAGATGAATAATCAGTTCTGATACGACTGTTGTTCCACAGTCAAGTCCACAACTAGTGATTATTTCAATTATCGATTAATCCGTGAATTTTATTTGATTAATCGATCCATCTTTAACTCTATTATGTGTCAGAAAATTGCCAATTGCCAATCACAGCTTGTCATTTTGCCAAAATGATTGGGCTCTGTTTCAAATCCTTTCAAATCCCTTACACAGCCAACAGCCTTTACCCCAGAGATATTAAATTTGTCATGACACAAAACATAGAAAATCATCTCCATCTTCACATTAGAAAAACTGTAGAGTTTTTTAGCCAATGTCCTTGAAAAATGACTTAGATGATTCATCGATTGTAGAATTGCGGCAGATCAATTTTTTGTTGATTGGCTAACAGATGAATCATTTCAGCACTGGTCCACATTGAATGTAAGTCCTGTGTTGGAAACATGGTCATGCCAAACAGAGCAGCCACTGAGCTAAGAGGAGACGCAACACAAGACAGAGAGGAGAGAAAGCCGGACAGATGGAGAGCAAACTGCCAAAAAAGTTTTATGAGACTTGTGTGATAGTAATTAAGTGTGCTTCATGGGAAGATGCATGAAGTGGTCTTCATTATAATTTTACTTGCAGTTTGCAATTTTTAATGACTTTAATATAGTAAAAGTTTAAATACATTTTTCTGATTCTAAATCAATAAAACATGTCAAGAGTAGGTTGAACTGATTGTGCGCACTGGTTGAAATTACGGCGATACTATCCTCTAACGCAGAGCTGTTACTTTGGGCTGGCGAAACAACACATTGTTTAAATCAGTCACACAAAAGCGCAGTGGACGGCCGCCATTAAAATCTATGGTTACTATCATGGATTACAATAAATAAGTCAGGCATGCCCTGCCGATAAACCTTAAAATATTGTCATGGTTAAACAAAGAATCCAAACTTTCGGATACAGTTGAAGTGGAGCAGCAGCAGACAGAACACGTCAACAGACGACAACACACAAACTTTTTCTATTTACAGACGACGCTTCTCTTTGCATTGGAGCATCACCTCCCACTTGGGAAAAAGGAAAGGCAAGTGTAACAACAACTTTTGTAGGTCATCAAAAGTTAATAGGATAATTGCTTATTTCACATGTTTGTGTGCGTACGTCTGTACATCTCCTGTGCAGATCTGTTCTCCTCTTGCACTTGGTTTCTATATCACTCTCTCTTCCATCTGTGTGTGTGTCAGGTCTGTGTGCGTGTGTGTGTGTGTGTGTTTCCATGAGTGGATGAACAGAGCTGGGTGGCACAGAGCACAAAGACACATCAGAGGAGGCTCATCGCCAGCACCCCTCCAACCCCCCTCTTTCTCTCTCTCTCTCATCCAGTCTCCCTCCTCTTTGTTGCAGCGCTGAGCCTGCACTCTTGCCGTAGCTCCTGCCGCCGCTGCCGAAGCCCGGTTGCTCTTTAAGGCCGCTTCGTCTTTTGGTCTTTTCTCTTTTTTTTTTCTTTTTTTCGCTGATGTCAACAGAGTGACTTCACAGAGCTTCATGCCTCTCTCACACACACCTCATTTACAAAACCACAAAAAAGGAAAAGAACGAACAGAAAGAAGAAGAAGCACAAAACAAGATGGGGACAACTGTAGCCATGCTCTTCCTCCCTGCTCCTCATCCTCCCGCCTTGGCGTCAGGAAAAAACACATTTTCAAAGTTTCCCCCCAGTTCTCCCAACAATGTCAAGATTTAGGCTTGTAGTTGAGATGGGTTTACGCTTTAATGTACACCAATTAAATGCGGTTATATAGTTACATTCAAGAGCGACGAGAGATAAAGCGACCAATAATGAGAAAAGTGTGCAGGTGTACACAGACGCAAAGTTTTGACTGACTGACTGAAAAAGTCTGAGCTCACCTGTTTATCAACTTCAGGGTAAAGACAATTTCTCATATTAACTTTTATGTGTTTATGTTATTTGTAAACGCACATTTTTTGCTTGTGAGTTTATGTGTGGGAGAGAAAGCGCGTTTCATGCCGCTGTGTGTCTGTGTGTGTGGATGTGGGGAGCAATTCATGTGTGTCCATAATTGAGTTTATGTGTTTATGTGTGTGTGTGCTTCAGTGTCCCCGATGAAGTTTCTTTCCCATCTCGTCTGATTTAATATCCCCTCAGAGTCTTTAATCCAATGTTTATTGTATATTTTGTTACATAAATATCTGTCCATGTATGTAAACAGCTGCCCGGGTTCAAGCCACACATTTAACATAATAACAGATTCATAACTAAACTTTGACATCATCTAGTTTGCTTCATCCCAAAGTACAGGGCACATATAATGTGATTCTGTTACTGTTACTTATTGATACTGATATTTATCAATTTCTTTCAACAGTACTTCATAGTAATGTGCCATCTCTCCTGCCCTTTTTATGAATAATTCATGTTTACAAAAATAAGCATGTTGGCTTTCTCTGGGATGATTCTCCAGGATTTTGAAGTAGGAACACACATTTTGTGTGTGTTTTAACTGATGTCAATAGTGTTTCTTTATAAAAAAAAGTTAATAATTATAGATTTGTTTGATATGATCCAATCAATTCAAGTTATTTTGCATGCAACCCACACGGCCTGTCCCACAGTATCCCGCCACTGCAGATTTCACTCCCCATTCTTTTCAGTGAGAAACAGAGCAAGAGGTTTCCACTGCTGCTCACAAACTGACCCTGTCTTGTTTGCTCCGCACCAAATTCAACCGGAGCGAAATTTGACCTGCAAAATTGCGCGCTCTCTGATGCCCACCCAGTTTGAGAGGGAGGTGGTGATTGACCCCTCATTATGGAAATACTGATAGTTTATGTTGTCGATTACATTACTACATAGCAAAATAGTAGAAGGAGTAGAGAAGTGGATGCTGATTAGCAGCAGTGAGTTCAAGGGGAAAGACCTGGTCAGACCAGCATTTCAATTCTTTCCAGTTCCAGTGGAATTGCCACAGTTAGTGGATTCACTTGCAGAGGCGAAGTAAATCCATGTGAATTTTTTTGCATCTAGTTCAACTTGGGTGAACAAAAAATTGCACCATTGACCTGCCATTACCTTCTGCTGGAGTACAAGGCGCGGCCTGTTTGCTTACACAATGAGAATTTTGAATTCATACAGATGGCTGCAGATCTAATATTTAATGTTTTATCAGGCTTGATCAAAAAAGAGAGTGATAGCCCTGGTGTGTGAGTGTCAGCTTTATGTTAGTTAACAGGTTAACATAAAGCTCAGTGAGTTACAATAAAAAACTGATTGGAAATAGATTGGGTTTAAGATAATCAATAAGAATAAATTACAAAAAAGGCATAGATTGACTTTTACACTGGTGTTTTGTGTGTAGGGGCATGTGTGTGTGAATTCTTCCTACCTTACAGGAGTCCAGTCGGTGCTGTGCGATAGTCGAAACCTTTTCTACCACAGTGCGAAGTCGTGACTGTGTGGCGTGTGAGATGAATGTTACAGCCTCCATGGGGACCTCTGTGACTCCAAACTTCTTAGCTGTGAAGGACGGACACACACACACACACACACACACACACACACACACACACACACACACACAAAACACACACACACACACACACACATACAGGCCAAGATGACACTTTTGCAATCAGTGAATCATAAGCATCAATTCGATACCTCTTTCTCACACAACAGATAGAATCAGTTATTTTCCTTCTCATTATCAAGCACAGATTTTTCATTCACCTCCCTGATTCAGTCGTCATTAAAACACTGTTCTTCTTACTTTATCATCTAGGACTTTTATAACACAACCTCAGTCCTCACTTTTGTTGTACTAAAGGGATAAAGAGGTTGGAAGTGACTGTTTTATCATCACTTCTCTTGCTTTCACAGTTTGCCTTTTTGAGAAAAACAACAGCTAAGCAGGTAGATGGTAATTGTTTCTGAGAGCAACACACACACACACCCAAACAACTTGTAAAAACACACCAAAAGAAGCCCACAACCTCTATTCAGTACCTCCACTCTTACACATTCACACACATTCAACTGTCTGGATTAGTGTTAGCAATTAACTCGCAGAAATAGGACTCATCACACAGGAAGTTAATTTGTTTCACAGTCTTAGTGCAAATTCCAAAGTGGCTTTACTAGCTAAGCTCCTTCAAGTGTGTAAACGACATTGACCATCTCTTTTCGTAGGAGAAGGATAATTTAGTTTCCTTGGAGCAAAACTCATCTGAAGTCATAACAAAAGAGAGGCGGACAGACTTTGGTAGGGTTACTATCTGTTTCCAACTTCCTTTTAAATTATTCCATTAACATAATTTTCTCTCTGGCACCCTTTTAAGTAAACCACACCAATTATTTAAATCAGCGGAACAATACATATACTCCTCACCAGCTCGAGCTTTGAAATAGATGGAGGAAGCCCTGTTAGCCTTATAATTACGGTGGCAATACAAGTGGCAATGTCACAAGGTCAGGGAAAAACACTAATAGGCCTCTGCTTCCTTAAAAAATAAGATCTTTCAGGGACATTAATATTTCAGAGAAAGTTTAAGAGAATTAGCCAGAGAGAGACACATTTCTGTGAGCAAAAACACATTCCTCCGCTTGTAATGATACAAATCATTAACATTCACCTAGAAAAAAAGGCCCATAACACAGCTAAAAACAGACTAATGAACTGGACAGCTTTAATATTTAGTGGAATTCATACTGGAAAGAAACAAAAGATAACAGGAATGACACGAATCAAAGGCTGTGACATCTTCACTTTTTGCATTTTTTTTAACATTCCCATCAGCCTCAGCTGAACGTTGTTACAAGGGAATGTTAACATGTTAATATGCTAAGATAGTGAACATGGTTAACATTTTACCTGCTTAACATCAGCATGTAGCGTTGTCATTGTGAACATGTCTGCATGCTGATGGTCACATATATGGTGTGGTGTGCTCACGTTTCAACTAATGTGCCCAAAACATTTCCAGTTCCTACCAATGGTTAATTTCATGACCTGTGCAAAACTAATTTATCATACATGCCTATATGCATGCTAGAGCTTTGAACAAATACTCTAAATTCTATTATATAATCGAGATATAAAAGAAGACATTCAATTGTGAATATGAATATTCGAGGCTGTGTGCCTCACGAGTTCTCGTGCGGGCCTGGACTCACACAACGTCACTTTCACAGATTGAAAATTAAATATAGGTCAAGCTGCCATAATGATGGCTGAGTTCACAACCAAACTTGGAAACAGAGAGTGAGTTGCACTCTGAGCAATCTACTCGGTAGACTGCAAAATTGTGGAACCTCACACACAAGCTATATAAGCTACAGTTAGCCTAGCCTACCATTCCAGCACTAGCAACCTGAGGGCACGGCTCGAAAATATGCAAACAAATGAGCATCTACACAATACTTAGTCTCTCGTTGTATCAGTCTCCCTTCTTATGGACATTACACTCAAAAATAAGATGAACAGTTTACAGCGATGTGTTTTTTAGAGGGATTAATCGAACGTCATTTTTGGTAAATTTTGACAGAGCCGCATGCCAACTGCACGAGTGAAGTGAAAAGCAAAATGGCAGCTTGTTTTAAGGGGAGACATGGTGCTTGGGCATCTGTTACTAACCACAAGTCAAGTCAGTCAATCACATCAAATTTTGGGTGAGGCACCACCGTTATGCAGATGTGTAAAGTATGAACGCCTTAAGATTCAATCTGCTTTTAATTTTCCTTTCCCTTCACCACCTTCGTTTACATGTTTCTATGGTGAGAATGAAGTAAGAATTATGAAGACAATGAATTGTAGGAGATATTTTCAACAAGTAAATCATCGATTGTCACAATATGTAATTTGTGTATTTGGTCACTAATTCTGCTTCGCCCTAAACTCGTCTAGAGATCACACAAAAACTGTCGAATGTTTGATACCACAATAGATTTTTATGCAGTAGCTGCCTGCCCATCATTTCCAACACAATCCCATGGAGAGGCAAAATCTGCATTGAGGCCTGGTAACTTGAATATTTATTTAGTATAGAAATGACTGGTATCCATAGCAACAAGGGTTCCCCTGAAAAGTAGCTGGCAGTGAACATGGAAAAGGTCCTGAACGAGCCATCTATGCTTGTTTATATCTATTATACCTTTCACTGTGTGATTCTTAGAGTAGCTTTAATTTGCTGCTTTTGACATAACTTTCATTGTCTGCTTTACGCTCTGCCCACAAACACAGAATAACACAGGACCCTCAGATACCTGAGCTCCACTTAGGGCTGCTACTTTTGCTCACCTGGATTGAGAAATTCACCTTTTTCTGAGAGACAACCACGATCTCAGAGTTACATGTGCTTCATCCCTCCAGACCACAGTAAACTCAGCTGAAATCTTCTCAACTGCACATCAGGAGTCAAGGTCTAATAAAGCCACAAGGACCACACCATTTTCAAATAGCTGAGATGCCACAGCCCCAAGTCATATCCTTGTTCCAGTCATGATGCCAAGAATAAAACACAGCTCTGTCTCCGAGCAAACAAAAACGGACAAATGGCTCACAAAAGCAACTCCTGAACCCCGTACTAACAAAGCAAAGGTGCTGAACATGGTCATAAGCTTTTTCCAGATTTACAACTCATGCAGACCAATGTAGACTTAGCAAATGCTAATGACCTCTTGGTTTCTCCCGAACCAGAGGTTTCATAACCAGGCGGTGTCTCGTTTCAAGCACCCTGATCTCCACCCATCTTGTGGAAATATATTTTTGAATCTCCACCTATTCCCGTGGATCCTTTTGAGACTGTTTTACTGCACCATTTCACACAAAATCCACAAATGCAGGGAGCATGTGACTTGTAGAATGTCACGTGACTAGTGTCTCGTAAAACACAACCCACAAATAAATGCAGATGATCTGTATCCGTATCTGTACTTCTAATTTACAACTCGAATATCATCTTTTGTAAGTCAACTTGGAATTTTAATGGAAAATGAAGTTATGTATTAACATCAACAAGAAAGCACTTGGTGCTCCAGCATTTTTGAATTTTGTCTCAAAAGGATCCACACAAATAGGTTGAGATTCACAAATATATTTCAGTGGAAAACCTGAGTCATAGATACAGATATAGATTTACAAATACAAATCATTCCGCATGTATTTGCGTTTTACAAGTTACGTAACTTGACAATTGCTTAATAATAGTTTTGAGACTGTAGGAGGAGGATCATTATGTATAATCTTATGCATTAAACGTACGTCTGAATATAGAATTAAGCTGCCAAAGTTCAACATTTTATATTTAACGGAAAGTATATCACAATGGTGGTACTGCTGTGACTTCCTGTCCAGGACTTTAAGGGCTTGTCTGTGAAGCGTCCTAACAGGTTTTAGGACAGCCTTGCTTGCCTGTGACCAACAGATTATCAATAATGGAAATAAGAAAAGATCCTTGCATTCAAGTATGTCTTAGTATCTTGCTTCATATATCTGATTTGGCTTGGCTTGTCAACAGGAAGTGCATTCAAAACAGATAAAAAAAAATTAACAGAGCAAATAAAAAAAGAAAAAAAGATGCTACTGATATGACAGGAAAACAGAAAAAACTGAATATAATTTGTTTAGAGACAGTAAGACAGTAAATGTACAATTAATTAAGTTAAATGTACTCCACTATTACTGAATCCGAGAAGCCAAGAGTTCAAGTCTTGCAACTTGAAGACTGACATGTTTGTGTTGACCACTGTTTTCCCCAGCAGCAGCTCATGCGAGTTTCATGGTAAAGCTGACATGATGCGAATACAGCATGAGGCACTAGCTTTGTTTTGAAAGTGAATCATGTACAGAAGGTTAGAGACCACTTTCCCATTTGGACCCCACTGTGCATCTACCAGGAAATCATGCTCCAGAAGACACACGAAATCCAAAAGAGAATAAACCAGTTTTCGTGTCAATGCTATTATTTCCTTTGAGCCATTAAATTGTGCTATCAAGATACATTTGAGAAAGATTTGGAGGTAATATTCCACGCATGGAAGCTTGTTTTAATATTTTTCAAAGTCTTAGAATTTGACTATTTGTCTTTTACTGTCTGCTTGTGTCTGTGTAGGTGATCAGCCCAAGTGCATGTATACACGACATGTGCATGTGTGTATGTATGTGTGTGTGTGTGTATGTGTGTGTGTGTGTGTGTGTTTGTGTGTGTGTGTGTGTGTGTGTGTGTGTGTGTGTGTGTGTGTGTGTGTGTGTGTGTGTGTGAAGTCAGAACTTAAAGGTACCAGTGGACTATCATTACTTTGAGGAGTTTTTCTAGAGAGCTCCAGCTGTGCCTGTGTTCTGGTTCCTGAGATGGGGGGGTGGAGTGCTGTTTCGCAACCTCCCATCACCACCACCAAATCCCCCATCCCCACCCACCACCAACCTCAAGGACAAGCCCAAAGAATTATGAGGGGAAGGAGAGAGAGGTTTGGGAGAGGAGGGCGGCACAAGTGTTTGTTTGGAGGGGATAAATAAGAGAGGAGAGGAAACGAGACGCAGAGAGATGTAAAGACGAAAACACAGAAGAAGATAGAAAGAGGCAGCCAGCATCCTCTCCTGATATCAGCATTCATAAAGAGAGGGAGGAAAATAAAGTGGGGTAAAAAATGGGCAATCAGGACATTTCCACTGATTTAAAAATAAAGACGGTGACAAAGATAAGGAAAAAGTGAACTATTATTTCTCCTATGATTCACAGGATCAGCCCTAGAATCTTTTTTGTGGGGCAAAAATAGGTCAGTGATGGTCACAGTGAAGATGTTGTGGGGTGTTCAGCAGTAAACGAGAAGGCAGAGCAGAGTGGAACTTGGTGCCTGTACAGTAAAGAGGAGCAGCCGAGGCTTTCTGATTGAGTGGAGCTGGCAGGCCGGGGGAGCCTCCCTCGGACTGCTGTCAGCTGGGAGCGTGGAGAGGCCAATCACTGACACAACAGAGCTGCATAAGTGCCACTTCCCCAGCAGGGGGCGCCCTAGCTTCCTGCCCTGTATCACGCTGCGTGCCCCCCCTGAGGAAAGATTTATATTTTTAAACAACCCCTCTGCCCCGAGGTGACGGGATAACAACCACGCCAAGAGTCCACGTAACGGAACATGACCCGCAGGTCCCCGTGCAACACTAAAGATACTTTAATTGAGATGAAACAAGATGAGGGCGCTAGACTCCCCGTCACGTGGAATTACGCTGTGTGTTTTTTGATCTAGATGCTAGGCACAGGTTTATTTTGAGTAATAACGCTCATTATTCGTTTTCACAGGTTTCACTGTGCAGCGAGAGCCTAAAGTATATTTCAAGCAATAAAGCTGAGTGCCGGTAGCAAAAAGAGGTAATGAAGACACTATCACTCGCATGTGATACTGCAAATAAGAACCAAGACGTCTCCGCCTGTATCGATTAGCACATGCAATACCGTGTGTGCTATCACAGTGTCAAGATCCACTAAAAAGAAATCTCGCTGCCAAGTCTCATTCCTCTAAACTCTGTTCCTTTAGTCCAGAGGACAATCTGACAGCCAGCCTTCAAAAGACAAACCCATAAAGTATTTATGTGTGTGCCTGGGGTCCAGTGAGTTCAGACAGCCACTGAAGAATTCATTAAAGGAGGTGAAAGAATTGTTAAGTGTATCAAATTTAAACCGAGGCCAAACAAGAAAAGGCTCAGCCTGAACCACTGACGGAGAGAAAATCAAAACTGTCTTTAGTGATGACACTCTAAACACAGAAACAACATGTTCCTAACGCAAAAGACAACAGATAGTGATTTCATCACCACCACAGCCTGGAAACTCAGCTTTGGATTGTGTTTTTAGAGTGGTAGGGTGGGGGTACATTGGTATAACATTAAGATTCTTCCTGCTGCTATAATAACCTCTTTTTTTCTCTGAGAGGCCGGAATTCATCAAAATATCCAAAAGGTAAATGTTGAAGAATTTCTGTGTTACATCACATATTGGGCAATGCACATATATCTTACCTGTTTCCAGAATTCGTCGGTGTAGCAGCCCTGGGTGGAGAAAGGCCTCGTCTTTGCATGAGCGGATTTGCGTTCCCACTAGCTCCGAGTTGGTGGCGAGTATTCTGGCGCTCTCCTCGTTCAGGTTCACGCCGGCCATGGAGGCCACGTCATTGATGTCATCATCATCCCTAAAACATAGACAGAATATCAGCAAAATACATACAATAGAAAATATGTCCTCCTACATAGGCCCAAGTGTATTAAGTTGGGTTTGTTGGCGTTTAGGACCCAATGATGTTTGCACAAATGTACACAAATCTTTTGCAAACCTCCAAACAGAAACATATGTATTTTATCGTGGCACGTTCAATGCCACTTCTCTGGTCAGGATTATAGATTTCGAGACATTAAACAGACTCTAATGAATGGTACAAGCTACTTTTTTTTATTTGCACCAGTTCAGGGTGAACTAAAGGTAAAGTTACTAAATTCGGATAGCGCAGGGGAAAAGGGGCCCCACTCGGGAAGTTGTCTATAGGGATTGTGTCCTTGTCGCAGCATTAGTGACTCCTACTGGTTGGTGTGTCTACACTGTCTACATCCCGTCTGTTAGCAGGAACAAAGTCTGCAGTGCAGGGGGAAATGGTCAAATGGTCATTTATCCAGTAAAGAAAAAGAATTCAGTTCAGGCATGGAGTAAAAGCTTTGTAAACCCTCACTCCATATCAGTATTCATGCCCTATTATTATCAACATATATCCCTTGCCTTGTTTTTATTCATGAATATTTTCTCGGATGAAGTTATGCATAGGTTTTGTTACACAGGGCTATGCTTCGGTCATAATGGCACAGTATTCCCATTCCAGGGTCTATTTGTGTCAACACTCGCAGAGGCAGGGAGATGAAGAGCGTTTGGTTGGAGTTTAGCTCGATAAAGATGCTCCTGAGGATTGGCACCAAGCTGTGATGAATCTAGCTAATGTCAGCAAACTCTATTTGCTCACCGCTTTGCCACACTTGGCAATGTATTTTCTTGATGTGCTGGTCATTTCTCACAGCTATAATGTTGACTTCACTTTGTTTACATATTAGCAGAGACATAGAGGAGGCAAACATGCAGAAATTGTGATTGGGTCATTGCCTTTGACAGTCAATAAGCTCCACACATCCTTTAAAGGCAGCGACTCTCTTTGTTGAGTTGTCACAAAGACAAATTCCTTCACAATCATTGTACTTGGCAAGTCATGACTCTGATTCTGGCCTGAATTAGCAGAGCGGTGACGTGTTGTGCTTACAGGACTGGCCCAGAGCAAGCAGCGGATTTTCTGAGTGGCTTTGACGGAGGGAACAAAGAACCGCAGAACACACACAGAGTGGCCTCTCGCCACTCACTGGCTCACCTCCACAGTCATTTACGTTCATGCCACCGTCGTCGGTTGCGACAGTGCCTGTGCATGTGTCGCTGTGTTTTTGTGTGTGTGTGCGCAGTGAGAGCCCCTGAGTTCTTTCAAGTGCATGTGCGCGGGCACACACCGTCAGCCAACTCCACCCCGCCGAGGCCCTCCTGCTCCTTGGTGCGGCCACAGAGAGCCGATATGAAACTTGACACCACGGCAGGAGGTTGACAAAGACAATTAGAGCAGCTCCCTGAATCTCACACACCTCTACCTTCTCTCCTCTTTTCCTCCTCTCCTCTAGCACTCAGTCTAATTATGACTTCACAGAGAGAATCTACACAACAACACAAGCATGGATACATTGGATTATACCCTGTGCCGCACCTCAGGCTGTGCACCTTTCTTCATCACGTCCTCATGGATAACTTGACCTGTCCTAAAAAGAAACATGCCTGAGGCCGTGTTCACTCAGGTAAAAAATGCTGCTACTTCCACAGCTTCAAACTATCTATGTGCCTGATGTACATGAAGGAAAAGTAATTGCTTATACAAGATCCCCCAAAACTAAAGCAAGTAATCACCAGCCAGTCAGGTAGATAACCCTATCATCTGTGTAATACTGTATTAACACTAAACTGTGTCATTTTTGTGAAGCCAGTGCAATAGCACATGGTTTTGCCTAACTGAAGTACAATACAGAGTGACTGTATTCCTTTTAAAATATGTTAATCTCCCCAGATTTGACGAGATAAATGAAAATGTTTCACAGTAAATTTCTATTGAACAAAACATCTGTCTCTTTTTGGCCAGATCTCTACTCTCACTTGTGTACCATGAGAAGCTGACCAAAGCAGGTTATCTTAGATTACATGAAGAGAAAAGGTCTGTCTAAATCAGAGATATTCTTATGCTGAAAATAAGGTTATATGACTTTTATATGAAAAGTCATATTACATGAATAGCATACCATTTATACACATTTAAATGTTTCAATTATAATTCATTCGTTCTCTCAAACAGGACCTAGTTGGTATGATTGTTCAAACGAAGCTAGCATAGCCCCGTGACTAGTATTACCGCCTCTGCCAACCAGTCAAGTTGTATTAAATGTATTTTGTCATATTTAGCTTTAGTTATGGCCAAAAATGTGTTTCGTGAGGTCGAAGTGACCTTGACCTTTGACCTTTGACCACCGAAATCTAATCAGTTCCAAGTGAACATTTTTACAAAATCTGAAGAAATTTGTTTAAAGTGCTGCTGAGATATCGTGTTCATGAGAATGGGATGAACACGTACAGAAAGATGGATGGATGTGAAGGAGGACAGATGGATAGACTACATGGTGCCTCCGCCCATCACTGTTGCTGGCATGGAGGAATAAAAAAAGTTAATGTATATTTTATAATATGGTTTTCCCATGTGTTCTCTGGTCAAAATGACATATCAACATTAAAGTTGTTATATCAAAAAATAGGCTTAGCTCACATGAAGACAGAGAATTAGTCCTCCTTTGACATTGCACTGGCACAGCTACAGCTGCAAAACAGCTCGATCCCTGAGACGATGAAGTGTTGCTTCAGTCAGAATTTACAGAACAAATATATGTAAGTGGTGCTGACGAACTATAAACTACGCTGAATCTGTTGGGTAACATCCTAAAAATGTCTGCAGTAATACAGAGCAGAGATATTTAAACAGTGGCTGCTACGACTGCATGGGGCCCTAAACCATCAACCAGTATCCAAGAACACTGGTAATATTATGAGTAATAATGTTTCTTCTTCTTGGAAGGTCTGATTTCTTGGGCTATTTGGGATCGCCTGGGCTCAAATCAAATGAGAATGCCAAAGACAGGTCTGACATTAAAAGGAGGGAATGAGATATGAAATGCAAAATATTCTTGACTATACCTCTGCACTAATAAAGCAGAGATGTAATTAGCTTCCACAGAAGCAAAAGAGCAGGCTCTCAGTTATGGTTTGGGTTGGCCCGGGGACACGCAGCCGGCGGTCACATGAATACATATGCATGTCGTTTCCATATCAAGCTTGTGTTTCAGCGAGGGCACGCCATAGGTGGTGGGAGGACTGCATTTGCCGTTTAGAGATTGTGTGTGAGCGAGTGAGTATGTGGATAGATAGAGGTGTATCCAGATCTCCAGCGCCCCCTGCCTCCAACACCACCCTCACACCCGCCCCCACCACCACACCCCACCCCTGTGGATAAAGGTCTCTGTGCCCAGGCAGGGGGCCCTGATTGATCCCTGTGACTAACACCCAGGCCGTGCAGGCTTGTAGTGCCCACACTGAGAGACATGGACCACTGAAGAAGCGTTTTCCACAGAGCAGCCTGGGGTTCGCTGGGCAGCTGATGGGATATGTGCTCATGACCCAAATGGATCACAGCACTGGGGGCAGTTGGGGCACAAGAAGGGCTAAATAATGCTAGATGTTTAATAAGTTACTGTTATAAATTCAGTGGGCCCCCCAACACTCAAGCTGTAATTATTCACAAAAATAAAATATAAAAACTGGCAATAGGTGTAATGTAGCTGCTGTTCAGATGAAGGCATATGCCACAATGCCTTGTTTTGATGTAACCATAACTATATTAACATTCCAGGCTTTCCTATTTTCTGTTAGGGCGATTTTGGAGCTCCATCATTTTCTTTGTGGATTCTTGGAGCATCTTTATTGTGGTGCAGCCCCAAATCTGAACATAATCTAATCTTGTGGCTGCCATGTTTCCAAGTCTCTGCATCAACAATTTTTGGGAGGTCACTTCTAAGACCTAATTGAGTCAAATTTATTTGTAAAGTCTTTTTTTTTTTTCTTTTTTTTTTTTTTTTTTTTTTTAGCAAAACAGGCACATCACATAGCAATTTACAAAGCAACAAAGGATGTAACCACAAGGACAAAACTCTCTTTGGTGGTAAATGATGGAAAAGGGCTGGTGGACTTTTATATTCACTGGCAACAGTGATTGGGGAACAGAAACTTTTGTTCCTTATTTTGCATTGGTGTATCTGTGTGTGTATTTTCCATGTGAATAAGCAAATGTTGGTGTGCTTATGTGCACAGATGTGTGTCCACCATGTAGGACAGGGTTGGATTTTGAAGGGCTGAGGCTGAGCTCGGAGGTTGGCAGAGGGCTGAGGGCCTCGGCTGCCTCGCCTGTGATTACAGCGGATGTTGAGTGTTTACAGAGAAATGAGGAGGGGTGTGCATGTGTGTGTGTGTGTGTGGGGGGGGGGTGCACAGAGACAGCTGCTTTCACTCTGTACTGTAAACTACACACACACACACACACACACACAAACACACACATGCACAAACACACACACACACACATGCACATACTGACACAAGCACTTACACAGACGGCTGTAGCTGTACTGGAAACCCCACAAGCCCTGCAGTGTATATATGTGTGTTTGTGCTACAGCTGGCCCGCTGGGACCAGTGGCTCAGAGTGACAGCCATACACACATCAGTCCCCAACTACAGCTGAACACGGTGCAGGCTGGGTGGGTGAGAGGCTGGTGGATGCTGACTGACCAGGCTGGCCAGCGGATTATTTTTTGTTTGATTCTTCTAACGGTTTTCATTTTCTGATATTTTCTCCCTTTGTATCTCAAACTTTGTACGTGCTTCTCAACATTTCGTCTATAAGACTTAACCCTATATTGCCCTCTTACTTTTACACTTTTTTTGATGGTTGTGCTCTTTTCTAAACCATTTGTTGATTTGTACGCTTTAATATTACGTCTAAAACACTTTCATGTATAAATCTGACGTCACTTGACTTTAGTATGCTAATGAGACGTCGTAAGTGTTGAAGTGAGTGTTGAACTTATAGGGAACTTTTAACAACTTGTAAAGCTATAACTTCTATTTTTTCCATTGTGATTTACAGGAAACTCAAACGCCACCTTTGTTCACAGGTCAAGTCATTATGTTCATGGTGCAGGTTTCAGGACATGGTGTCAAGACACCATGTCATCCAACAGATCACTTGTAACACTGGACTCTGCTTCAACATGTTTATATCCTCAGGAAAGAAAAAACGACAGCAAACAATAAACAGTGTAGGGAACTATGAAACTGAGCCAACCAACTGAGCTCCAGCTGAAACCTTAACAAGTAAAGAGATTAATTCACACTGTTTGCAGTGTATATTACAAATAAAATAATAGAAGCAATTCATTTGTATAACAGTAATGTTTAGCACTGACTAAAGAGGCATGAAAAACAAAACCAAACAAATGAGAAAGGAAGAGAATCTCAATGGAGGTCCATCTCTCATTAAACATTAAAATCAATATCAGGTTCAGCAGCCTCTTATTTGACTTAGATTAAAACTGTAAGTCGTGAAAGTTCAGCAAGTGCTAGTTGCTGGAGGAAAACTGACGACCTGCATGCAGAGACGAACACATGTTTGAAGGTTGTTGTTTAACAGGCAGGTAAACTCTCACTTGACCTGGTTCAAAGGGAAGATATGCGACAGAATATCAGTGACACGCTTCTTCCGTGACAGTGGTGCTGTGTTTTATCGGGGTTATACTGAAACCAGTGCGTTGTGTGTGGAGGGCCAGTGTGTGATCACCGCAGGGGGGAAAAGGTTGTCAGTAACAAGCGAGCCTGACAGCTTAATTACCAACGCAGCTAAAGATTTATTGGTTTATCAATCAGAGCCGCGGGCGCTGCCTTTCCCCTCAGGAGACGGGAGCCATTACCATGAACCCGTTGGCCCATGTGACCCAGACTCTTCTTGCCCCAGCCCCAGTCACACCGGGGCAATCCTAAACCCCTGCTCCTGTCAATACATGTATACACACACATTTGGCACACACACATAAACACACACAAATAATGTCAGACTCTTAGCATATACACATATGTTCATGTGCACCCGAGCAGGGACACAAGCACAAACACAGAGGAACAGGGACATACATGGAAACATATACATACACACTAGCATGTACATGCTGCGCACACACACGCAGACAAACACAAATACACAAACGCTCACACAAAACATGGATCACAAAGGCCAGCATGTGGGCGATGAACCTTTTATGTTTTGAGACAAAAGCCCAGCTGAAGCAGAGACAAGACCAGAGAGAGAGAGAGAGAGAGAGAGAGAGAGAGAGAGAGAGAGAGAGAGAGGGAGAGAGAGAGAGAGCAAAGCTGCGGGCTAAATACCGTATGTTTGACTTAACCAAAAGGTATTTTCAGAACCGCATCCAGAAATTCCAACCATCTGGACACAATTACCTTATTTCTAAATTAAGATTTAGCTCATTTCTAATCCTGTCGATGAGTTGTGACACTGACACAAGGAGGGCGATCGTGAGGGTGATGTATTGGCTGGCAGTGTGTTGCTATGTGGTGGGCGCGGGGAGAAAGGACCACCGATCAACCAGCCGGGCAGGCAGGCAGGCAGCCAGGTGGCCAGGCAGGCAGCTGGGATAAACACTCACAGCCTTAGCTGAGAGTGTAGCCTGTAGTCATGCCGGGGCTTCTTAGTGAAATGCTGCCCCCATGTGATGGCTGCTGGGAACAACAGTTGCTCTACAGTCGCTCTCCTGGTGAGAGGAGTTGTACCTGAAAGAGCCTCCTCCGGGGTCGTTGAGCTTGTTTTTCTGATTCCCCGAGACCTGAACAGCCAGGCCCACGGGACATTTCCCCGCTTGGATCACGGCTCCCTTCCCCATTGTGCCTGTTAAGGAAGGAGAAAGAACAAAAAAGAAAACACTAAAGAAAACGGGAAGGAGTAATGTTATCATTGAAGTGTCCCTTTCTATCAGTGTCAAATATCCTCCTGTCTAACGACTACCTTCAACTGTCTCTGTCTTCCTCGCAGGGGTGGATGGAGGGGGAGTGGGGGAGCGCTACTGTCGCTCTCCCCAGGTTGGTGCGGAGAGCGTCGCTCTGTCAATATCACTGCGCTTCACCGGCTCTCCTTACACTCCTAAACCGCATCCTGCTCCGAGACACGTTTTCCAGAGAGGCACAAGGACTGCCAGAGTGAATTTAAACTTGATTTTAACAGGCATGTTCCTAGCCAAGAGGCACAGAAAAGTATTTTTAGAACTATCCCCGCATTCCAATTTATGGGCATAAAACAACCTACAGATCCTTCACTGCAGGCAATCTTGGGGAAGGGGGCAGATCAAATTTGTATGCACCTCCGATCATACGCACACACACATACACACACACACACACACACACTCACACGCAAGCAAAAACAGGTACAAACACATACACACATTGCACACACACTCACACACCACCTGAGAGCACACAGCTCTCTTAGGGGAGCGTTACGCCCGGTTGGTGTTGGGGCGATATTTGTGGGCTTCTGTGGGAAGAGTGTTTGTGAATCAGTGTGAGTAAGCAGCAGCGCAAATGTTTGAGAAGGCTTTATAACCAGACAGGAAAAAACACCTGTTCTCTCTGAGGCTCCTGCCTGTTTACACATCTTACAGCCTACTAAGAGGACATTCAGAGCTACACTAATGGTTATCTTCTGTTCAAATCTTTTTCGCTGGCTCTTGATTTAACCAGAAGGTCAGGATGAGTTTGAACATTTTGAAATATCTGTCTGAGAGTGCCGCATCACTGAAAGATGTAAGAAAAAAATTGGAGGCCAGAAACAGAAGAAAAACCTTGACTCAGAGGACTGAAACTTTCCATAAATTCTTTGTTTAGTCTTTTGTCTTCAACTGAATTTACTTCAGTCTTGCACAATATTAAAATATCCTTTGTCTGAGAGACATACGTGTGATTGAATTCAGGAGATTTGACCAAAAGTGGCTGCTGGAGAAGGCCTGCAGATGTCCTACCTTGCGCTCTGACAGACTGTGTGATCACCACAGGCATCCGCACCTGGCCGCCGACAGCGCCCGCTGTCTTGATACCCTGAGGAAGCAAAAAACATAAACAGAGATTATGTACCTTACTGTAGCATTTCAAAGAATGAAACAATTTGAAAGTGACAGGGCAGACTAAAAAGTATGAAACTGCATGCCTGCTAAACCACTGCTCCATTTTTTTGCACCATCCCCAAGAGAAATTGTTCAAGGAAAAACCAACTTTCGCTCCCCCTTTCAGACATAGTTAGTGTGTAAGAAACGATCCGGAGACACGCTGGCCAAGAGACACTTAAGTGTGACAGTGTACTGATTATTATTGTACTGTAACACATTAGAAATAGGATAGATAGCAGGATAGATGCAGATAAATACAGGGATGATGAATTCTACAATGGTGATCTCTACACACTGTACTGAGAAGGTGGAGATCAATTTAATGCACGTGGAGGATGGATTTCTGTCACTGTATGTGACCTACATTTGCGTGCATTTCCAGATAAGACAAAGGCAATACGACTGCAGTGAAAAAGTAGTTTAGATGAAGAAAAAGTAGTAGAAGAAGAAGAAGGAGCAGAGGGGGGGTGAAGGGGCTGTGCTGGGCTATTAGAGTCACTTCCTTCCTTGGTAGCAGCCACGGGCCAAGCCTCAGGCTCAGCCATCCATTCCTACCAGTTTGCTTCTTGCTGCATATTTTTCAGCCTTGTTTTCCATTCCCTGACACATGCTATATTACTGTTCAAGCTACTGAAAAAAGACAGAGGCCATTTTTCCCAGAGATCCACTGCAGGGGCCTGTGAGAATGAGAGGGAAAAGGGAAAAAAATACATTCAGCACAGGCAGAGATAGCTAGCACCTCTGGCCAGCCGGCGACACAGTTAAAGAGAGGGGAAAAAACTCAGGTAGAAAGTTTGGGAATCAGGAGGTAAAAGGGAAGACACTAAAACTCAACCCACTAGTTGTATTTCACTTCATTATATTTCCTGCTTTTAAACGTCAATCATAAGAGTGAAATTACATGTAAGAAGTTATCCTTGCGTGAACTGTGAACAAACAACTAATGTTTGAATGACCGCAGACATTTGTCACGTACTAGCGATGTTGTTAATGCTGGTATTCCTCAAAAAGGAATTTAATGAAACTCTCACAGTGTCTGCTTTGTGTCGATATTGTTGTATTAACTTGAAGAACAGGGTTGAAAATATAGTGTTACAACATACACACAACTCCAAATGTCCAATGAAGCCATACATTTGTACATTTATGCGCGCTGTTGCAGTGAAGAATGCACTGCTACGTAGTGGTGTGGCCTACTTACGACACTCCATTCATTCACTGTTTTATCAGTTCAACCCATGTAGTATTTACCTGGAAGTTTGAGGTCCAGCAAGTTTCATTACAGTTAGTGGTGTCATTTTTTCAAAATAAAAATTTTTGAATTTTTGAAACGTTTTGAATTGCCACAGATCCCCTGATGCCACCAATTACATTTTAAATAGAGAAATCACAATGCCGAATTGCATTTCTTTGTGAGGCAAGTGTAATTATAGAAGAAACCTTGAATAATAAAACTCTACATCTATATCTTTCCATACTACTGTGGAAAGAGCAGATTTTTTACCCTAATTCAACTTGCTGTCTGGTTTCAGACTGTTGATGTGCCAGGGGCGATCATTTACTAATGTTTTGTGTGATAGCTTATGTTGGTGTTGTATTCGTGTGTGTGTGTGTGTGTGTGTGTGTGTGTGTGTGTGAGAGAGAGAGAGAGAGAGAGAGCGAGAGAAGGAGAGAGAGAGAGATGGAGAGGGAGAGTGAGAGAGACCAGAGGCATGTTCTGGACATAGACTGCGGCCGCCACATTGCTTTAAAATTGACCCGGGGCTGACCTAGTTACCTCGCTTCACCCTTCAACGGTTAACAGATAGAGGGAGGGAGGGAGAGAGTGAGGGAGGGAGTGAGATGAGAGCGATGCGGGGGTAGATACAGTGAGAGAAACTGTTGGGAAAAGATGGGGAGAGGGCATAGGGGGGGAAAGAGATAAAAAAGAGAGAAAGCAAGGGAAAGAAAAAGATAGAGAAGAGAGAAGAAGAGAGGGAAGGAAAAGGGAAAGTGAGATACTGAGAGAAAGACTGAGAGAGAAAATGTAAAAAAAAAAAAAAAAAAAAAAAAAAAAAAGAGATAACCCTCTAGCTCACCTACGCCTCTGCCTGGACTCAACCAATCTGACTCTGACCTATCCATAGACACCTGTGCACTGTGTGATCACGTGATTTTCAGTGTGTGTACATGTGCACACACACTAAGGCTAATGTTGCACAGCTGTGAGTTGAGTGAGATGGTTGGTGTCCAGTGCTGGAGCCTGCAGGTTACCTGGCCTTACCTCAGCTGTATCTCCACACTGTTGCTATATTACAACCTATGGGTTACACAATACAACGCTGCGTATCAAGAATTTGTAGGACAGATGACATGGTATTAAAAGCCGCAGGGGTATTGAGTAGAGTGTTTTTCAACCAGAGGATAGGGGTTTAAAGTATAAAATGTGTAAAATGTGTAAAACTTTTATGTGATTATAGCATTTTTCTATGACGATTCTAAGGGCATTTTCTTTTGTTGTTGCTTGTAGAAAAACACTGACAACTGGTGCAGTCAACGTGATGCTTTTAGCTCATTTATCTCATGTGTCCCTAGGGTCAAATCTGTGGCACAGGATGGGGCAGGGGACACCAACGTATATTTTTCTCTGTCATAATGTCCTCTAGGAGTCACCCTGATTAGAAACTTTCAAATCAGAAGCATTGGAGCACAAACCAAGTAACCAACTAGATTTCCATACACATTTTTTTTTGTTTTATTGTTTTTTTGTACGTTTGTTTTGTTTTAGAAAACTATGATATGTCGTATTAGAAAAGCTGAATAATTGATGCACATTTTTCTAAATTAACATTATCATAGCTAATCTGTGGGCACTGTAATCGTAATGTAATTCTAATGATCATACTTAATGGCTGTACAGTGCAGTATAGAAGTATAATAAAGTAAACGTATAGACTACAGACAGCTGTCAGACTATGGGCAGGAGTAAATAATAATAATTATCATCAAAGTGCCTTTGAGCCAAGTGCTTGACCACTGTCTGCTCTGATCAGCTCCACTGATCAGAGACCAGCAGTACAGTTTGGACTGACCATCTCCAAGGTTTATAATATGTATGTGTGTCTGTGTCTCATTAACGTCCTTACCTAGAAACATTTTGTTTCCCTAAGTCAGAGAACGTTTCTGTGTGGAGATTCTTCTTGTGTCTGCATGGAGATCTGTCCAGGTTGTGTTCTTCATAATATTGTTTAGATAACTGCACATAATTTTAAACCCTAAGCCTCTGCTAAAACCTTTTTTTTTTTTTTTTGGTAAACTGAGTGTGGTTCCTCAGTGAGTCTGTGAGCTGGGTGTGACTCTAACTCACTGATGGCTATGTGACTCCCAGCCATGGCACTGTGACACTCTCCAGCCTGATAATTCAGCCTTGTGTAAGATCCATCAACACACACACACACACACACACACACACACACACACACACACACACACACACACCACCAACCCCCGCAGGTCTGCATCCATCACATTCTCGCACTTCTCCACTGAATGCAGGAATATTGTGGGTAAATATTTGTCACATCTATTACCTGACCAGTATAGCTTAACTCTCTCCATCCTTACCTTACATACACATTTCTGTGCACGTGCAAATGAGACACATCTGTACATTTACATTTTTAATAACTGCTCTTGTTCTGGACTATAATATATTTTATTTACTGTATTTTACTGCAACGATCCAGTTTCCACATGCGCATACGCTGTATCTATTTAATGTAACAATAATGTTAGGGATCCAACAGTTGAAGCTTATTCTACTAAATATAAAGTTAAATATAAACTGTAAATGTAAACAGTGTGGTAACTATGTCTGCACTGGAGTCTGTTCCAGCTGGTCCGCTCCATACATACCATAGCAGCTGCATGTCCGAGCGTCCCGGCGGGCAGCGCACTGGCACCCGTGGTGGTGCTGACGCTGTTAGGGTGGCGTATGCGGACAGCTGGACCGGCCACAATGGCGGGAGGGACGCCGCAGGGTGCTGGTTTGACTCCCTGCTGCGGGGGCTGGGTCAGGGACTGCTGACTATTCAGCAAAGACAGCCTTAGGGCCGGGAGGCTCTTCTGTTGACAGGCAGAGGGAGGCCAGAGTTTATAGTCATAGAGCAAAACAGACATGCATGAGAAAATACCACACACAGCTGCAAAAGCAAATACTGCTGTGGTCACTGGCTAATTTAGTATAATGTTATCACGCAAGCTTGGCTACAGTTGGCTAAAGAAACACCTGCAGAGACATGCGACAATACCTGTTTGTACATTATCTACACAACGATTGATGTGGTTTTATATGTTGTAAAAAAAACGTATACTTTTCCCATGAAACTGTTTCATTTGATTTGAGGATAATTAACCTGCAGTGTGTGTAATACTGCATATTCCATACATTTAAAAAAAAAAAAAGAGTTTCTGATAACCCACTGTCACAGCCGACCTGAGGAGCTGATGTTGCTCCACACAGACTATTTCAGGCAGATTTTTGACGTAAGCGACCTAACATTGCATGACAACATGTGTTTGTGGCCGGGTTGGGCAGTCGGGCGCCTTGATGTGACACTCATCACGGTTTGCTGAAGAAACCTGCTGGCTACTGACAGGGACGGCTAGGGGGGCCACTGTCACACACAGTCAGAAGTCAGGCCAGAGGGGTGTGTGCGTGTGTGTCTGTGTGTCTGTGTATGTGTGTGTGTGTGTATCATTCTACTGTCAGGCCTCGCCATCACTGGCCCTGGTGCCTGGGTAAGGACTACTTTAGGGCGTCGGGAAAATACTTGAGAGGGGCAGCTTAAGGAGCCAAGCAAGGGGATGATTTCAGGAGGCAAGTCAGGGAGCAGTTCAGGAAACAATTTCGGTCATGTAAATAGACAATCCGGCCCCTGTTAAGAGGACTACTGTACGAGGCAGGTGTTTAGCTGTCAGCGTAAGCGATCCAGTCCAGGGAACCATTGCCTTAGTCAGCGAGAGGCAGTCTCACGTTTGATGTTGCTGGCTTAGAAAGAAGGTTAAAAAGAAGATTTCAAGCGAGACGCCCACCTTGAGAAAGGGCACCAGGTAAGGCTGCGGAGACGACTTGAGCTCAGTCTGCAGCCGGCTGGTGAACTCCTCCGGTTCAATCTTGGCATCCTGTTAGGTGAAGGGTGAAGTATAAGAGCCGTTTCACAACAGAGATCAGACCGTAAAGTTAAGTGCCCCATGGTGAGTTGAACACAGAAAGATGAAACCCCATCACCGGAGCCGCTGATCAGCTACTCAACCCCCAGCGTGGCACCACTCACCAATAATAAGTCTGTATGAGATGAAAATTCGTGATAGAGAAAGGAGGGTTTTGGAAAGAGTTGCATGCTGCCATCTAGAGGCTTGAAATATTTAGTACAACACATTAAAATGACAAATTTGACTTACTTGTGCACACATTTCAAAGAGCAAAAGGCTAAGAATAAGAAGAAACACTGTCATTCAGATGTAAAGGAGTGCTTGTCAAGACTGGCAGATTTTCTGAATGTCAAACAGCAAAGTAAAAGTGTCCACAAACTTAAATACACAAGCACAATCCTATGACGTCTACTGTACATGAACAGTGTTTGTTTGTTTGTTGGCTGGTTTTTGTGAAGCTCACCAGCAGGTCCTGAACCAGAGCCTTGACGTTCTTGGAAGTCTCAGGGGATGGAGAATTGTGAGACGCCAGCTTGATGAGTGTGGCCAGGAAATTCTTACACTTCTTCACGTTCTCTTGCATTTCCTGTCAAGATGACCACAAAAAAAAAAAAAACAATATTTAAAAGAAGGATTTTATTTTTCTATTAGTCAAGGATAAGTGTCAATGCAGGCATCAGAAGGGCTTGTATTTGTGCTGCGTTTCCTTAATTAATACACAGATCCAACAGAATGAATTCATTTGGACTGATAAAGGAGCTGACAAGCATCAGTCATAAATCAGTACATAGTGCACACTTAGCATGTTGCCATGTCATCTTTGTAGCCAAATGAGACGTGGCACCTGTCCACTCAAACTGCCAGTGGCAACAAACTGTGGCCCCTCTGAGATCTCTCCGGCCTGGATATTTGGAGATGCGAGTGTCTGTGTGTGTGCTCTGTATCTGTGTGGATTATACAATACGTATGTGAGCCTGTATCTATAGCTGTATCTGTATGTCCCTGAACATGTATATAGACATGTACATGATGGGTCTGTGCCTTTATGTCAGCGTCTGTATGTCCTTGGGTCGGTATGCACTTGTGTGAATGTATGAGTGTGAATGTGTGTGGGCATGTGTGAGACTCTTTGTCCGTGGCCAGCTGTGTGAGGCAGTGAGGCTGTGGGTCCTGGGCTGAGCTTGTGACACAGCCAGCCTGCTGGCAGCTGTGACAGTAGAGGAGGGCGGGGGAGAGAGAACGGACCTGGGACACGACAGAGGCTCCGGGGGCCGCTGCGATGCCAGTCTGCGGAGGCTGCGGAGGCTGCACTGGCTGCGAGGCAGCCTGGGCTGGGGCCTGAGGGGCCATAACCACGGGGGTCTGCTGCGGAGCCGTCACAGCCACTGCCGGCGCCACGGGGCCCTTCTGGAAGAGCAAGGAAGAGACAGAGAGATAAACAGGACGTGACGCCTCGCTCGCAGCAAGGCCACAGAGAACAGGAGGCAGGCGCCACAGCGCTCCTGTCACATCTGGTGTCCTGACTTCGGTGGACATCGCTTAACAGACAAGGAGGAGGAAGGGGAGGTGGTGACAAGCTAGAGGCTGGGAAAGACAGGGGAAATCAAAGCTTTTCTTAATAATCACCTACCTGACAAGGGAAACCTCCATCTTCCGATCAAGATTTATTACCTGTGATTCCAAACATTAGCCACCTATCATCTACTTTATCATAATCATATGTGAAGGAAAGAATGACTAGAAAATATCTCACATCCAGAGCACAAATTTTGCTCAACAGATGAGGTGCCAACAGCAGTCTCTCACTCTTAAGCCCTCATCACCTCTTTCCAATCTCCCAGGGCCTGTTCACACTTGGCAATAAAATACATCTTATGTGATGCAATCATAAGTGGACAGTTCTAAATACAGGTGTGAATGCACCCAAAATGCATGGAGGATACATTAGGGTCCGATCACTCAAGCCACATATGGATGGGGGCAAGGTAACATGTACGTCCACATATGTGATGAAGTCTGAGCACAGACAGTATGGTGTAGCGTGTGTTTTCTGTTTAGCAAAGATCACAGTTTTTCCACTGATTAATTCAAATACAAGCAGGGAAATTAAATCTGAGATGCAGCTCAACTGGGTCTTGATGCAATCTGGATACACACTATCTGGATAGGAAACGCTGGATCTGATCAGAGCCTCCAGGGTTTTAGTTCCTTAGAAATTGGAGAGTTCAACTTGAAATATTATCTCCAGCAGTGCCAGAGTACAGTACATGATGTTATGATGTGTAGCTAAGGCAGTTATACCTGGCAGCTATATCTATTTTTTTTTTTTCAGTTAGTGGGAATCAGGGTTATTATTCCAATTTTTCACAGCAAAGCATTGATTTTTGAAAATAAATGTTTTTACTGTAATAGTTACTTAATGTTCATATTGTGTATTTAAAAGCAGAATGATTACATCCCACAGCAACTTAATAAATGCTCAGGATAATTAAAAACCTAAGAAATAATGAATTATGATTTCATCTTCAAGTGCAAGGATGTGAAATTCATGAGTTTTAAGTCAGAAAAGCTTTGCATTCACATTCAATTTCAATCCTGTTTTTTCAATTGAAACAGCCATAAAAACTGAGGGTGTAGAAAGCGGGTGTCAATCATTTGAGTGCAACCCAGATTCTCTCAACCTCTCGCCTAACCTCTTAACTACAACAAAGCCGTGACACTATTTCTTGACATGAAATTTCTCCAATGGCGTCGAAGGCAGAAGACTGAAAAATAAGCAAGTAAAGGAGAGTCATCTCACTGGGCGGAGCGCAGGACAGCAGGAGGAGGAGGAAGAAGAGGAAGAGGAGGAGGTCTGGAGGGCAGAGCTGGAAGGAGTGGGAGAGGGAGATGGTACCATCTTGGCCGGGGTCAAAGGACACTGCCTGGTGGTCTGAGAGGTCACAGGAGACTGCAGGACAGAAAGAGAGCAACACAGAGAGAGGGGGAGAGGAGGGACAGGAAAACAGAGAGCATAAAAGCATCAAAGAAAGTTGGTGAGGGAGGGAGCACGGGGGAGATAAATGATGACAAGGCACCTCAAAAAACATAAAGAATGAAAAACAGCGAAGGTGAGACGATGTCAGTTTCTGAGGTGAAAGAGGAAGATGATGGAGGGCAGAGAAAAGACTGGGAGAGTGTGAGTGAGAGGGCAACAGAGGAAGACAAGAGGAGTAGCATGCCTTGCAGAGAGATGAGGAAAGGTCATGACAGCAGGAAGGAAGAAACCAAGTGGCAGCATGTTGTTGGTGGTGAAGACTGAAACAGATGGGAGGGCGGTTGGTCAGGTAGCAGTGGGTCACGGTGGCTTTGTGCTGTCTGATAGGAGGCATCAAAGTACCAGTGTGTTCACATACTGACACTGCCATTTATGATTTTACTAATGGGAAAACCCTGTCACTTGTTTTCCTGTATAAAGGTGTAAAAAGTGATGAACTGGAAAAACAAAATTCCCTGTAAATTATTAGATTTTTGGCATGTAAGCTTGATATGGACAGAAAATGTTAATTCACTGTCTCCTGAGGGCTTCTGCAACACATTCATGGCTGTAGGTTTTGACATTCTCTTACTTTCATTGCCTTTAATCAAGTTATTCAAGGCCTTGGTGTTTACAAGTGTTAACCATGAAATACAGACAAAGGATGATTGGTTTGTAGTGATTGAATAAAGTTGATGTTTCTTGGAATACTATTTTTCGAGTGCGAAATTAGCTCACCTAAATGGCATTTGTTTAAATGAACACCACAGATGCCATAATAATTGCTATGACTGATGCAACTATTAAATAAATTAGCATAAGAAGCAATCTGCAAAGACCCAATTCCATCTAGAAGTATGGCTGTGTATCTATTCCTGATGTTGTCTAGGATGAGAAACCTGACTTGTAAGTAAGGCCCATCGATTACAGCAAGTAAACAGGATCAACACTATGTATTGCAGATAATGTTTATACATTACAACTAAGATGATAAACTCCCTAAATGACCCTTGTACTCACCACAAATTTGCATTACTGTCTCCATCAGGTCTGGCCACCACTGCAACATTATGCTCCCGAAATATTTACATTTTATCCAGGAGAATCACCTACAGTGCTGGCCAACAAATAAATGATGACTACTTATAAGGGTAGAAATGAATGAAGCTCTGAACTGGTGAATGAATAAATACTTAGGACTAATGACAGGTTTGAATCTGTGATTAGGAACAGTTTACTACAGTATTTACAGGTCAAGCAAGGTTTGATGACAACAGTGACAACAAACTCACATAACAACACACTAAAACAGATGACAGACACCACTGCAACATTATGCTCCAGTAACATTTTCCTGGAAATAAAACATCACACTGAGTATAAAACAGATCATGTAGGACATGTAGGAGAGAGATCAGGCTGATTAAATCACTCTACACATACAGTGAAACTGTTGGCAAGTATTTGGACAGATTCTTTTCAGTGGTGTTTTGCTGGCACTTCACTCCACATTAACTGGGAGGTTTAAATGCTGACCTTCATCTTTAATTTGAAGATGTAATATTTGAATTGTATAAGATTTTTAGCCCTTTTTGTTAGACTTGGTTATTGTTTGAATTAATCGGTTCTGATTCTGTTTATTGATTATGATTCTTATCGATTCCCTATTTCAATTCCAAAATGGTTAGTTTAGAAAACAGAAACACCTTTTTTCTTTTAAGTATTAATCAAACATTCACAAAATAAACTGTACTTACTATTTACTAGTATTTACTAGAATAAACACGTATGATCCACAAACATGCATTATAAAAAAAATAGATAAAGATCAAGCTAGAGTGGTTAATTAAACTAACTGCTAGTTGTTTTATCTTAGTGTTCTGGGACTGGTTTCACAAAGATCGACTTTGACTGTGGCTTAAATATATCAAATAGTCAGACTTAAGACAGACGTTGCACAAAGCAGTTTTGTTCTTGAATATCTTAAGTCGGACTGTGTTACAATGAATTCTGGGCAAATTAAGACTTTTTTCAATATTAAAAAAAATGGCCGACTGAGGAACCACATCCAATCATACAGCTCCGTTTATCCCGACAGAAAAAGTTAGTCTTTTGGAAAAATTCAACAGTGACAAGGACGTTTTACTTGAAGAATGTGACACTAAAAATTCAAATCTGATTTGGAAAAGAAAATGCCTGTGGTCTCTAAAAACGCTTTCCATTTTTATTACTCTCTCCATAGCAATGTTAGCAAACCACAAATTATGAGCAATGTTTTCCTGTGTTTTGTTGGGTTCTACTGGTCAGTGCAGGGTGTCATTGATTGTTACCATGGTAACATTGGTCTTAGACCTGAGTTAGCCTGGGGGTAAGGTGTCTAATGTTTCTGGCTTAAAATGAGTCTGTCTTTATCTTTGTGAAACTGTCTTACTTGCATTAGACAAATCTATGAACAAAATTAAAACTGGCCTACACTACACACCAGTCTGAAATATCTTTGTGAAACTGGCCCCTGGTGACAAATGTGCATATTTGTTTGCCCTGTATTTTATTTATCAATGACATCACACACTACCCCAACACTAACACCTCCTCAAGAGGTATTTTACCAGTCAAAACAAGCAAATGTTAAAGGGATTATTCTCTTGCATCAAGAAAAATAATGTTGGCCACGAATCTCACAGTTAAATTGTAATCAGAAGTAAATCCACTCCAGCAAGAGAAACATTAGAGTGAATGGAGTTAATTGTATCAAGTAAATTTTAAACTGGGGATCTCAAGGGCGCACCTGCACTGCTCTCCCTCACCTGACGCTGTGTATGGCAGCTTGTATATGAACAAATGGATATTCTTCGCATTGATGCATGACATAGACAGGTCACAGCAGACAGCTATGTGTGTCATTGTGCACACTTGTGCAGATGATGGGTGAGACACATAAGTGTGTAAAACTAATGATAAACATCATGGACTGAAACAAAAAAACGTCCACGTCCATACAGGTAGATGCTGAAATTTGTCATCATATTAAAGACAAGAGAGCAAATGGGTGGGAAAGGCAGCGAGTGCCAACTGCCACAAAGCCACACTGATGCCCTGTGGCTCATCACACTCACACACACACACACACACACACACACACACACACACACACACACTACACACACACACACACACACACACACACACACACACACACACACACACAGACACACACTTCCTGGCTGCTCTCTTGTCTATTGGCCAAGACAACCCAAGAGGGCCTCTGCCCGACCTCTGGCATACGGCCTTCCATTCACAGACAGGCCAAAGCACCTCACTCACATAAACACACACACACACACACACACACATATTCAAGCACATTGTAAACTGCACTTGTCTTGCACACAAATGAAAACACACAAACAGACACACAACCCTGCCAAGGACAGGAGGATGCAGGCAGCAAGAAGAAATAGGATAAGAAAGAGGAGGAGGGAGCTCCCCCTCCTCTAAAAGTTTTGTAGAATCCAAAAGAATGTTGTACTAAGGAGTTGGAGGAAGTGGGTGTATGAGGGATGAGGGGAGAGGGGGTAATGGGGAGGTGGGGGGGTTGGTAAGAGCCACAGGGTGCATCCCACCGCCAGCTATGCCTCTCTCTTGTTCACTCTTTCTCCCTCTCACACACACGCAGACAGACACACACAAACACACTCAAGAACCAAAGCCTTGTTAGCTTTTTAAAATAATCAGGCAGTTGGATGATGAATGATTTAACAGGTATGGAAGGAAGGAAGCTCAGGATGCCTTCCGTTTCTTCCCTCAGGGTCATGGGAAGAGTGACAGGCCGACAGAGGGGTTGAGCTCTGGGAATAAACACCATTCCCTTTCATTTCCTTGCTACTGCTTTTCCTGTCGAGATGGCAACGCCGCGGCCCGCTAATTTGTCATCAGCGTGACTGTGAGAGGCGATGACAATCTGCAAGTCTCTTTTGAGAGGGGTTCATATCAGGATGGATACAGGTTGGCTGGCTATGAGCACAGAGGCAGGAGGGGGAGTTGTTGTGTACCTGATGGGGACTTCGGTCTGTGAAGCTGGTGGGCTTCTGTGGAGTCTGGAGGATGAGTAGACTATGGATTGTCTGAGACTGACTGTGGCTAACATTTACGCCAGTTTTTATACTATGGATTGTCCTTTAATAATAAAAACCCAATGGAAGTTTAATCTCATCTTTGAAAAGCAGTATTACACATTGTAATATGGCTGCTGTATGATGTGTGTACCAAACAGTAGCAAGGTAAACCTACACTAATCCACAACCCCCTGCTATACATTACGGCATGTGGATATATTATGTAGGCTAGATTTTATTGGACATGTATCCTCAGATTTGACTACTACTACTAGCATATTATTTTAATCCTCAAAGTCCAGGCAGCTGTTCTTCTCTTTTCACACTCATACAGTTTAATACTGATAACAGTTATATAAAATGGGATGAGCTTACTTACTGTAGCCCTGAGTACAACATGTCAGAAGAACAGCAAACAGTTAAATTCTCATGTGAAAAGAAGAACTCGAAATACAGAGAAAAGTCTGGCCCAATTGAAAAAGACAATGAAATGCTGCCCTCTAGTGTCAGTCTTTTGTCTTTGCAGTTAGTAATATGAAGAACAGTGCCAAAAATATTTAGATATTTAGCTGGTCCCTTCATTACAACCTTGAGACAAGAACAAAGATTTGTGCTGTAAGAAATTAACCTTTGAGATAATATTGAGCACCTAGCCTTGAATGAATCTGTTCCAAGCTCCAACTGTTTTTTCTCTTCCATAATCTGACCAGATGACTATAATGAAGTGTAATTTACAAGCCACTCGTAGTGTAATACTTAATAGAAAATCTTGTGTCTTCCTTTCATAATTCCTGAGCAGGAGCTTCAATAAACTGTCAAAGCTGTCCTGAGTTGTCTGCAAAGAAAATTTAATCACGTGAAGTACAAAATGGATGTGTTTTCCATATAGGAACAGCACACTTTGTGCCAGACAGATTACTGTAGATGATGACAGGGCATTATTTAAAGACGTCCTCCTCAAATTCATTATAGCAGCATCAACAAATGCTGAGATTTCCTCCCAGATCACTGTTGGCATTTTAAAACTCAACAAATGTCAAAGTTGTAATTTCAAAATATTGTGAGATGGGATGTGAGGGCGAATTGTGTGCTTTTTCTATATCTGACTTTTTTATTATTTGGCAGCAATTTTAATAATTGATTATTTATTTTCCATAATTTAAAAACAAACAAACAAAAACTTCACTATTACAATTACCATTACTATTACTAGTTCCACAAACCTGAATTTTCCTTTTCTGGTTTTCTGTGATTGTGAGCTCAACTGTCTGAATGAACAATAATTGTATTTGGCTTTTGGACTGTTGCTCAGGTGAAACAGTTTGAATCAGTTTTATTCTTTTCTGACTTTTTAAAGGCCAAACAATTAATCAAGTAAGTTAAATCATTAGTAGTGGCCCTACCTGACTTTATTTCAACTGTCCCATTGCTGTGAACTAAACAACAACAACACTGAATCCCAATTTGCAATATAGCAAACAGGGTTAAATGCAAACTGTTTTTAACACTTGCTTTACATTTCTGATGTAAAGCTGTATTTCGAAGAACTTAAATATATTATATCAGATCTGTTTTGACTCCCTTGTTGACAAATTAATTTTTATACATTTTTTTAATAGATTTTTTTGTCATCCAACCACTCCAAAACCATGTTCAAAGGCACTTTTATACAGAAGTGCACAGACACGTTCTAAATGTTGTGCTTACAGATATTGTATTTCATATTGTAATCATAATATGCATCCAAAATATATATGATTTTTCAATACTGTCGTATGCATGCCGATTATAAAAATGCCAAGGTGAAGAATTCAACCCTTCAGATATGTCTGCACTGTATATTCTGAGATCAAGAAGGGAAACACTAGTCGAGCGAGGTTAAGAAATATTTAGCTGTGCACACCTGGCAGGTTTATTTTTGCTCTTATGTCACTGTACTGTCTGCACCATTTCTGTTGTCGTACTTGAGTTACAGAGAAACTGTGGGGAGGCATCCGTCTGGTACTCTCATTATTAAAAGCAATTAAGGTGTGGAACAACCAGCACAAGCTCAAGTTTTTACATGAAGGATGTATCCACAGGTGATAATAAGCAAATTCCAATTAATGATTCAGTAGCTCATTAAATGTTGATGAGCGCACCCCATGGAGTCATTAAAAAGCCTTGAGACATTAATTCACCTATTAATCTCAGTTTAATCTATACATAAAATAATCAAGAATATTCATTCTTTATAATTACACAGTTTAATATACTAATCACAACCAAATTATGGTCTAAAACTAAGCTATTCATTTAATGAGGTGGTGCTCACCCAACATCAACTGTACAAATCCACAGATAGTTACATCGGAGTTTCTCCAATTTAATCAGTCAGACTGGATTTCACAAATGTCACCGGTTGTGACATTAATATTGACAGAAATTCTGAGGAGATTGGAAGGGCTATTTGTAAGTTTTCTCTGCCGCCGAGTCACCACCTCCTTGCCAGGAGCGGATGATGATGACTGTCACTTGACAAGAGCTTCAGCCATCGGTGTATTTATAATACAAGAGGTTACATTACGACCTCTGAGAGGCGCTACTTATTCAGGTCAGATTGGAAACTACAGTGAGTCACTATGGGAAAGTAACGAGAAAAAGGGCGGGGCTAGCTGGTTAGCATGCTAACTTCAGTAGAAGAAGTGAAAGAGACAAAAGTTAACATTGGTGTTGCTTTCCACCTCTGGAGACAGCTCTTGGTGAGTAAAGGAATGAAGTTTGCTTGTAATGAACTTGCAATGTTTCTTTAAGACTGTTAATGCTAATGCAGGCTATGTAGCAATTGCAAAATTTATAAATAGCTCCTTTAAATGTTGCACATTCTAAGTCATAGTAACCTCTGAGACTGATTCCCTCTGGAAAGCCAAAACTAAAAATGACAAGAACTGGGAACTTCTGTATCCTTACAACAGATACTGAGATACCTGAAACTGTACATGAAATTAGGCAGGAACATATGCTTGTCTGAGGACTTTAATGTATTAATTCTACTGTATTAATCCCTGTGCAGAAAACCACCTTCTGCATTGAGCTCAAACTGGCCAGCCATTGCCTTGGCAAAGAGCCATGCCAGGAGTATCCTTAAGATGATGCATTTGCTTTTTCTTTTTATATCTCTTGGAAATCAAACAGCTACATTATACCTCATTCCAGCACAAGGGGCTGTCCATAGTCCTATCTGTGTGTCTTCTTTCTGTTGCCCTGGATACTGACTCCTCCTCAACTTAAATATGGTATCCCACAAGAGTCTGTTTCCTGTCTGTTACTGTTTTTCATATGTGCTTCCTCTAAACCACGTTATTTAGCAACATAATGTCACCTTTTGCTGTTACGCTGATGATACACAGATTTACATGTATGTCCCACTCAAAACTTTTCACCAAAAATGTATAGCTCCATTTTTGCCTTCCCTGTCTGACATTCATTGTTGGATTTATCAAAACTTTCTTGCAGCAACAGCTGGATAATATGCAGATTCTTTTACTTGGTCCTTTCACAAACAATTATTCCTGGACTGACCCACTGGCTTAAAATGGTAGTTATTGGTACAGTTACAGATGTTCATAGGTTAGAGATGTACAAGTTTTCTTACAAGCAAAGCTCCCATCACAGCAACATATGGAGACGTTTATCCATCCTAAATATTTAGGAGCAGTGGGCAGTCACAACACAGTTCCCAGGGACCAACTCCAGTTTTGAGGCCAGTGTCTTTTTTAAGGCAAATGCGGGAAAAACATGCAAACTCCACACAGAACAGACCAGGATTATTGTTGGGATATAGGCACTGTGTTTAGTTACTGTGTACCTAAATCATATATAAAAATGTGTTTGACTCTGTATATAAGAACAGAGCATGTACTGGTCAGGAGGGATACAAAGATTCTGGGATATGGCAACCCAAAAACAATCGGTTCAGGGTTTTCTAGTGGCTAAACAATGGAAGTTGGCGTATGTATTAGTGGTTCAAAAATGCTGTTACATCTAACCCTGCCTTGAACAACAGGATCTGAGCTGACCTGTATGTTTTGAGAAATTGTATTTGCTACATAAAACCAGTATGTTCTCTGCTCTGGTTAAACCAGCTTTGGAAAAATCAACAATGTTTTTACACACTTGGTCTATTTTTGCCAGACGGGTTCATGTCGCTGAAGTTTGCATTGCATATAAAATGCATGTAATTTTTCAGTATTGATGTGAAATTAATATTAAATCATACATTTGATGTTTTTATTGCAATAAAAACAGTCAATCGTGGTTACATAGTGTTTAGCCATTTTTGTTTCTCATATTATACATGCACTTAACAGCAATGGAAAAGCATGGGCAATAGACTTATATAGAATTAATAAATAATCTCTATTTCTGAGTTTTCCCCACAGGCCAATTAGCGACACAGGTCTGATTCACAAATGCTGCAGTGTTGCAATGTCTCTGCAAACAGGCAGCAAAAGAAATTACAGTTGATTTTCGCCTCTACTAATACGAGATTTCTTATTGTAAAAAAAATTAGAAACAGAAAAATAAGATAACCCTACATCTGGTTCACAAAACATACAGAGAACACTTTTGTGTGCGCTCTGACATAAAAATCACCATCTCTGCACAGGAATGTTTCACGGGTAAAACAAATTGCAGGTAGTAGCAGAGTCTCACCTGTGGAGTTGTTACTCTGAAGGATGTTCCTGTGGTGGGGGTAGCAGGTCGTGGAGAGATGTTGTTCTGGGCCTGGGCCTGAGCTTGAGCCTGAGCTTGAGCCAAAGCCTGCTGAGGAACCATCACCAGCTGGCCCAACTCTGTACGCACCAACACCATTCCTGATGAACAACAGGGAATATTCATTAGTGGAAACACTTTAACATGGATAATACATAACTGGATGGTATTAAAACCAGCAACCAGCCATTTACAAATACATTTTTGATGTGGATAGCAGGGTACTCTGCACATAGTATCGTCACATGTATCATCCTAAGGGAACTTTGCATTCTAAATTTCAAACTGACAGGTGAAGCTGGGATTGAAACACCAAACAGAAACTATTGATAAGATTATGCTCAGTGCACTGGAATTGGATGGTGACTGATTTTAGCCACAGAAAATGCTTACTTCTGCCTGGCTGCAAACTGTCTGTTATAATCGTATAACAAGACACCTCAAGCAGTCCCAGCAACACATCATTAACAGCTTTAAATCAGTGCATTAAAGAATAATTAACTGTATTTAACCACAGCAACAGGACTTTGCTTTGTGCCACATTTTACCATGAGTGAAACAGACAGAATCATGACTTAATGTTACTAGAAACAAAATTCTGACCTTTCTTAGACTGTTGTAGGTGGTCATAGTAAAGGTGTGAGAATACACTCTTAGGCCTCCTAATATACAATATAACATACTTTTTCTAATCTGTTATTTACATTTATCAGAAATCGGGAAAATGTCTTATTTCATTGCACTAAAACACTGCTTACATGTGTGATTTCACAAAGTTAACATCCAAAGAAAAGATCAAGACCTTGCTCGATATCAGATTAATGCACAAATGACAGTCTGAGGTGTAAGAATATGACTGAAGATGTGATCAGGAGCTAATTACACAGAGTCTTTAATCTTTCTAAAAGACATGGATTACAGTCATTATAATACCACGTTTGTGAAGTAGCCCTTGTCAGATTGAGACAAAATGTTTTATTACACATTTGTTTATCTGTGCAGAATTTACATAAAGTGAAGAAGACATGAGGTCATTCAAAAGGTTAATAGCACATTCATTCTCTTGACTATCTGACTGAACCATTATTCCTGAGGTGAGATGACTCAGAATATCATTCACGACCAAACAGCAGCACACAGACCATTTTGACCACTGTCCACAGTTATTACCTGATGTTTGTACTACATAAAAGAATATAAGCTTCATGGAAGTTGCTAAGTGCCAAATATGTAGGCAAAATTTGGGCAAATGTTGCAGCTGTTGGCTGTTAATTGCATGATAAATTCCCACACTGAGAAAAAAATTGAAAAAAATATAGCACTGGTGCTTTATTTCGGCAACAATAAATGTTTAAAAAGTAAGTTCAATTGGCAACTACAGAAGGGTTTTGATACACTTCATAGTCTTGGAACAATGTAGATTGGTAACTCTCAGTGAATCAGGAGTAAAGTGATGTGCCCGTTTAAAAAAAATCTACACACCTTTACAACTGCCATCTTGTACAACCTCTTGATGCTGGCACTGTATGCTCGTCTTAGAAATATATTTTACCATCTTTATGCACTATGAGTGAACATTTCAGGTTGTTAATGTATTTGTACTGATGTAAAAACACATTGCTGTACATGTTTTGTGCCTGCCAATGGAAAACATTTTGTTAATTAGTCTTTGAAATGCTTTCAGGAAGAACACAAATGTTTGAAACTTTGATGACGGGCATAAGAATATCTACCATTCACCATTTCTGTATGATTTCATTGGAAACAGCCCTGTCTTGTATAAGTTAAACCATTTGCTTTGACCTTAAAGTGACAGCATGGTCCCACTGTTTTTCTTGTGAGCAAAAAACAAAAACAAAAACAGAAGCCTGATTTCTTATGGAGATTTAAGTCAAACAGTTAAACATCAGCTAATTCCTAGTAATGTTCAGCTAAACTGAATTTGACACCATTTCACTGCAAAGTTCATGCAAGTTTTGTCTATTTTTTTATTATTATTTTTTACAGTTGTGGTTTCCTGTGGTGTTATAGGCTGTCAAGCATGCTTGGTGTAAATTTCATACTTTGTGCAGCTAAGTTGGCACATCATAGCACTAACAACTGCTGCACATCCAGACAAACATTGGAAGAAACCGGGATGTCACACATTCAAACCCATCATACTGAAGACAGTCAAACTCTACATCATACTGACAACCAATCTTGAGCCTCAGGTAAGGTTATTATAACACAGGTGTAAACAGCACCTTGACCTACACTCCTCCCCCGCCTGCCAACCTTACCCGGTGGGATGGTAAACCCAGGGGGAAGCTGAATGGTCGTCTGCTGCTGAGGTGGTCTGACAATCAGCTGAGGGGCTACGATCCTTTGAGGTGCTGTAAGTCCAGGACGGGGTTGAGACTGTGCGGAGGTGGCCACAGCAGGTGTGGGAGAGGGAGCTGTGGGTCTGACCATGCTAATAGTGGTAGTCACTGATGTAGTCTGACCAATACCACATACAGAACTAGTTGCCACCCCTGTGACACAGGCAGCGATTGAGGCAGAGCTCAGAGGCTGGGTTATTGTAGTAGTTGTTGTAGCTGCTGCTGTAGTTGTTGTTGTTGTGACAACAGAAGATGCAGAAGAAACAGTGTTTATTACAGAGTTGACACTACCAGACTGGCTTGACATTACAATTTTGGACTGACAATCGTCTGTTTTGGAAGCCCCAGTGTCTGTGACCGTTTTGCTGTGGTTCTCCTGTGAAGCTGAAGAGGTGATGGGTCCTATGCGAGCGCCCTGCTGGACCAAGGCCGAAACACTGGTCCCGTTGCCGTTCTGGGCTATACTGGCTACAATGTGACTCGGGAGTCTATGCAAAGCAATGGTGGGAGTCCCCCGGTCGAGAGCAATAGCCGACTGACCTACAGGCAAGCTGGCGTTAGATAAGGTGAAAGTCGAAGTGTTAATAGAGGATGTCACCGGCCGAGTAGAGTTTGGTGTAGTTTCACTAGGATCCACAGAGCTAGCGTTTTCGACCACCGCTGTGTTGCTGTTCCTCCTCGTCGTTACAGCTGCGCCGTTTAAACTCTTTATCCGAGCCGAAGCGGTCCTCCGTGGCTGGCTTATGCGTTTTCTCGCCGGGTTAGCTTCTGTCGACGTCTCACCTGTGCCCGGAGAAACCTTAGAGCCGCGGCTGGATGTGGTGCTGATGCTGGCTGGAGGAGATGCCAAAGTTGACACACCAGATGCAGTCAGTGTTGTGATGGATGCTCCATGTGATTGCGAACCGCTGCTAGTGGCGTTCACACAGGCAGCCGAAGTGGTGGAAGGCTCGCCAAAAGACGGGGTACAACCCAGAGAAGGAGATGTGACAGCTTTATCCGGACTAACGTCTTTAGAGTTGATCTCCTGGCGCATCTCGGGTTTATTACGCCGTCCTTGTTGTTGTTGTTCTAGTGTTGTGGTGCCCACTGGAGCTGGTAGCGTTTTTCCTAAGTGATGGTTAGCGGGGGCCACTGAGCCAGCGCCTCCGTTTTCGTCTGTTTTACCTGCTGGGTTGCTTTGGCCAGCAAGCTGTGACTCCAATGAGCCCACTAGGTCGCTCACAGCCTTTTCATCCACCTCTGAAAAGAGCATATCTTCCAGGGGGTCGGAGGCGCCCGCCATCTCTGATCACCGATAGCCGTCTTATATTTTTTTTTACAGTGCGCCTGCGTGTTACTAGGCATTGTGGGAATGACTCTGACGTCATTAGATGAGAGGAGGGGTGGAGGGGGACATGGACATATATGTCTATTTGGGGGTGGGGGGTCTTGTTGTATTTTCATGTTTTTCTTCATATGTAATTTAAGTATAAAGTATAATGAATACTGTAGAGTAAATACCATACGGTTAAACAAACTATGATATGCCGCACTCGGGACATACTTTAGTTTCATGGCTTTACCATTTAAAACAATGCAGTTCGATGTGTAAGACAAGTTACGCGGTATATAAATTTTTTCTACATCTAAAAAGGTATTCTCTAGGGGCAGTGTTGGGAGATGCGAGCCCTTGTAATATCGCGATGTGATAGAATGGCTGAATCTCAAATCTCGACTAAGCATTCCTTGGTTAATTAGCTAATTTTCGTCCCTGAAAAACAGTAATAAAAGTTTACGAAACTGCATGTGCAGTCTACATTTCGCTAAGTTCACCATGTTTTTACCAACTCACTCCTTTTCGTTTATGAGAACAGGTAGCAGTGAGCGGAAGAGGAGGCAACTTTATAAGAATGAGCCACAGCCTTTCTCCCAACATCCTTAGCGGCGGGCGAAGGAAAATGAAAACGGCCATGTCGTGGTAGAAGCCAGTTCAGAAGCGAGAGAGTCTGAGCCACGGTGAAACTTGCAAACCATCTGATGTGGACTTGAAACTAAAGCTCTGAAAATAACACATCTGATCGCTCGTTTGACAGAAAGCAGATTTAGTGGACGTAAGTTCGTTGTTAAAACCAGAGGACAACATGAGCGGAGGAGGGACACCGTACATTGGCAGCAAAATTAGCCTCATCTCAAAGGCCGAGATTCGCTATGAAGGAATTTTATACACTATTGACACTGAAAACTCGACAGTAGCTCTTGCTAAAGGTACGTTAACGAACCACACGTGGACTGCAGTACTCATGAAGGGGGGTAACACAACTTGCAAAAGTGTTTAGCGATGGAAAACTGAAATTCATTTCAGCGTAGTTAGCTACGTCAGCTAGCTTTTTAGCCAACTAATAGCTAAGTGGTGCTGTAGTTAACACTCTGTGCCCTTTGTTTACGTTGTGCTTGGGCTAACATTAAATATTTACCCCTGGCTGCTGAGGACTGAGTGGCATATAATAGAAAATTAATGCCTTGTTACTATAAAACATCTCTTATTAGAGTTTTAACTATAGGTTATTAACAAAGGTACATTTAAGTGAGTATTTTGAACGTTTGTTTAGTGAACTAGCAAGGTATTACTCCGCAGGATTGGGCTGTTTATGTTGTACAGGAAAAGAAGGTCCTTCAGAAGTCACAAGGGGGAATTTGTCTCGGTAATTACATTGTAATTTAGGATGCTCTTATAACATTTGGCCAGGATTAACGTATGAAGATTAACCTTCTAGGCTAACCCTGTCTTATTTACTCGTCTTTTTTTTCTTTTGTACAGTATAATACATCAAAACAACAATATTTTCAAATCACAGATCTACTAAGCTTCAACATAAACACTAATAGTGTGAAGTAATTTAAACCATCCTGTGAATTTTCCCAAACAGTTCGCTCTTTCGGCACTGAAGATCGGCCCACTGACAGGCCTATTCCACCTCGGGATGAAGTGTTTGAGTACATCATCTTCCGAGGAAGTGATATAAAAGACCTAACAGTTTGTGAGCCACCCAAAGCCACTAGCAGCCTGCCTCAGGACCCTGCCATTGTTCAAGTAAGTTCATTTTCCTTAGTATATCACAATAATGTTGTAGTTTGTCAGACATTCTGTATATTTTCTATTAAAGTAATCAGAAATCTTTACTGAACACGTTTTAATCTTAGGTCATGCCTGGCTGCAGCCATGCTGTTATTTCTAAGAAGAAATTTTGACATGTCACAGAAGGAAAAGTACAGGTGTAAATGATTGAATAAATGATGGCTCATTTAGCTGCTTCCATTTCAGGGTCCTGGTGTTGTCAAAGCTGGCTCAGTGTCACACTGTCATGGTTTACTGGGACCCTTAAGCAGAACAGAGCCATCCTTAACGATATTAGTTACACCTGTGCTTTACCTATACTAACTAAGTCAAAATGTCTGCTGTGATGAAGACCTTTTCCAATTGGTTGGAAATTTCTTTTAAAGTAAATATAAAATTTACTTTGCACTAATAACACTCTTAACAAACAACATAGTGTCACAACTGAGTGTAAATTCTGCTGGTGTAACAAAAATATATACTTGGATAGACACTGGGCACTTTAACACTTTCCCATGCAGAATAGTTGACTTTTTGCTGAGGTCAAAGGACCATAATATCATCAAAAACATAACTTCTCCCCCTCCATTGGTCATATGTGTTGAATTAAGTGCCTTCCTTTTTCTGCTCCTACTTAGGTGAATATCATTTTTGTTTTCATGGCAGCAAGAATTCAGAAACTGAAGTACATGTCAGTGATGCTAAATACACTACACGACACATACACTAAATACACTAGCTTTTTCATGTAATAGGTGAATATCGGTAGAGATCGTGTACAGATTTTGTAATTTTGCAATTGCGCATTCATGTTGTGGATGCTGATTTCCTAAGTGGTCTGCAAAAGAATGGATATAACCACACACACACACACACACACACACAGACACCAACCAAGTGAATTTGTGTGAAAGTGCTGTTTTTGACAATCAGTGTTGTCATGGCTTTTCAGTTGACTTTGTATTTGTTTCTGTAGTCATCAATTGGATCCAGCAATGCTGCAGCAGCATCATCATTCCAGTCTGCTGGGTCCTATGCTCCATTCAGCAGGGCCCCTGTCCCACCTTACAGCCAGTTTGGTGTTACACCCCTTGCAGCTCAGCAGTTTGGATCAGCTGGAGCAGGAGGTAAGAAGTAGTTCTTGTTCAAAAGTTTCTTCTCAGTGCATCGATTTATATTTATATTTATATTTATTTATAGCACCATTAAGAAGAGCTGTGAACATGGTTCCATGTCCCACACAATAATATGGTGTTACATGAGACAAAAATAAACGGGGATGATTACCCGTGTCACGTGAAAAGTGTGGCACAAGTGGATTTTTATGCTGAATACATGAAAAACTGGCTGAATGGAAGATGGGAAATCATTTAAAACTCCTTAATAAGCATAGTATATTTATACATAATGAGAAATAAAGTTAACGAATCAGATAAACTAAAACATGCAAAACCACTGTTGTGGTGAACTCTGTAAGGTTCATGTGTCTGCAGGACACTGGCCAATTAAACTGCAATTAAATGACAAGAGTGCAAAGTGGCAGGGACATTAAATAATGTGCCATATTTGGGACTATATTTTCATTTACATTCATTTTATAGTGGACAATATGGCTGTAATAAAAACAAACAAGCTGTATTTAAAATGAACACCAGTTGTGTATTAAAGATGCTATCCCAAGTTAATGTTTTATGTTTCAGTTGATACACAAATATTATTTTTGAAACATTGTGATAATTATTTTGTCAGTATTGCTTAGCACTGCATTCAAAGCACTGTTTGACAACTACTAGATGTTTGACTGTTTGACAACCACTTGATCTTTTTTACAGTCACCAACATGATCCATCTAAATCTATTCCAATTACTGCACAATCAATCAAACATTCTTCAAACAAGCCTTGTAAGCAAGTTGTGTTTCTGAAGCATATTGTGAGCAGCCCCTGATCCCTGCTTATTTGAATAGAGCACAGCTGCATATTTCCTTTGGAGTTTCCTGCTGCGCACATGAACCCCATTATGTGTTGAACAGCGAATTGTGAAGACAATTATACATCAGATTCTAATAAACTGTTGTAGCTTGGGTATATGAAAGTGCTCAAAGCTGGAGACATAACAGCACATGCCAGGGATTTTCTCATTAAACATATAAATTGAATTTCTGCCTTTGTTGTAAAACTATTAGGTTGCTTTGCAAGTACTCAGAGCTGCCACTGGCCTCATTAGATATTAGATGTCAGTGTTGTAACCCTGACCAGGAAGGTTCTTCCATTATACTGGCAGTTGACATTATTTCCAGGTATTTTGCCACATTGACATTATATTGTATGTGATGTTGTGTCACTCAGCATCAGGTATATCACTTAACTCTCATTGTCTCTCTCTGCTGCTTTAAGACAAACTACACTGTCTCTGCTTTAAGAAAGTCATATAGTTTGAATCTAACTCTGTTGTTTTCTGCAGGACGCACGAGTCCTAAGCTGGACTCTTTGAAAAAAAGTCCCACGCTGGAGCAGGCAGCACAGGCCCCACCATCAGCTGCCACAGCTCCACCTGCACCTGTTGGACAGAGGAGTCAGACGGGGGCAGCAGTTCCCAGACCGACCAGTACCACCACTGGCAGCCAGAAGCCCCCAGATCTCCTTGAGCAGAGAAAAGGTAAAGATACCTTGCAAGCTTGTTATGGTAGATTTGTGGTAGATTTTCATACCGTTAAAAGTCCAGAGCACTGGTGTTGATGACCGGAGGTGTGAAGATGCTATCAAAAAAACAGGTTGACTTTTGTGAGTATACAAGAGGTTCATGAGCACAAAATTCTCTGCAGTACCAAAAACAACAGTTCACCTCCTAAGTTTAGATTCTACACCCATTTACCAAACACAGAGAATCCTGAACCTGCACCATGTCTGAAGCTCATGCTTGTGTTGCCTAATGCGTCTGTGTTAGATCATTACCAATTTACCTCGAGCGAAACTTATGCTAATGTCTACTTTGTTCTCTCTTCAGTTCCTGAGGTTCAGAAAGTGTCACAGCCAGATAATGAACAAGGTGCTGTTGAAAACCGGGATCCCAACAAGCGTCAAGCTGGTAAGTAATTTCCACCTTCAATTAATAATACCTAAAACAAACCTAATTCCATCCACTGAAATGTTCATTTATTTTAGCAGCTATTAAATCTTTATGGTCTATTAATATGTAATAAGAAATTTTACTGTCATGGAATCAGTTGTTTTCGCAGAGACAACGTAATGGACAAAATTTCTATTACGATTTCATGTCTTTTTTTTATGTGTCATACTTAATGGTTTTTTACCCCTTTTTTTAGTATTTCCTTTTCATATTGTCACCTTTGGTATCTACAGTACAGTCATAATGAGTTTGGGCAGTGATGTGTTTTTCACTTCTCTGATTGTGTACACCAACATGTTGACTTTGAAATAAAACAACAACAATGAGGTTAAAGTAAAGCTTAACACAATACTGTCCAAATATTTATTGACTGCACAGTACGTGTTGCTGGATTTCAGTTTTTCTCTGTTATTTCTCAGCTGGTGCTCAGGCCATCCGCCGCGGCCGTGGAAGAGGAAACCGCAGCAGAGGCAAAATGAATATGCGCAGGGATGGCACCATGAAGTTTGAAGAAGACTTTGATTTTGAGACTGCCAACGCCCAGTTTCACAAAGATGAGATTGACAAAGAGCTGCAGAATAAGCTTAAACTGAAAGGTACTGCTTCAACATGCTTGAATCCAAAAGGTTAAAAAAAAAAAAAAGCACTGCATTTATTTTTCACCAGTACAGAAATGTTTTCATCAGATCCATTGGCCTTACAGTCTGACAGAGACGGCATGTATGAATATAACAGGTGCAATTATTGTTATTTTCAAAGGGCAATACCGTTTTAGTTTTGTTTATCCTGCCACCATTTCTGCAAGTGAAGGCTCAAGAAGGAAAACCATGGTAGAAATAAAATGTTTGCATGATAGTGAATCTGTCCTGAGATAGACCCAAACATACTGAGTTTTTGGCATCTTCAGTGTCACAATGTTATTGCGCAGCCTGATGGTCAATTTATTAAGTTTGTGGCGTTCGGTGTTTTACAAATGTACTTCCAACATAACAGATGACAAGACTGAAAAGGCGCTGAATGGAGAGGAAACTGTTGTCTCAGAACATCCGGCCAATGAGGGGACCACCGAGGAGGAGGAGGCTGTGATAAACACATGCTACTATGACAAGTCCAAATCCTTCTTTGATAACCTGTCCTGTGATGATTTGAGGTATCTTTTTTTTTTTTTTTTTTTTTATGAACCTGAATCCCCTTTGACAGGGAGCATTGTGTTCAGACTGATAGTGTCACTGCGTTTGCAGTGTTAAAGTTACTGCGTTATGTGTCAGTCTGAATGGTATCTGCAAGAACTACTCTCCAGACTCTACATCATTTACCCTTTGTTTAATCATGTGAATTGTACTCACTGAATGCACTGAAAGACTTTTGTTTTTTTATCTCTTTTAAGTAAAGCGGGTGAAAGAGGATTTTCAAGGTAAGTCATATATTTTCTTAGCTCTGTTTGGGGAGGCACCTCAGGTTAAAGGGGCACGTTGGCATGGAGAGTGAGCACACTAATACAAACACTAACTGCTTTTGGATGTTGACTTAATCATGGCAATCATTTTTCAGTGTTTTTGTTTATTTGGTTACAGATTTAAACCTAACATCTTATGACCCAGATGATTGCACATGTTTAGATTGTTAACTATAAAACCACACAGCGTACATGTAACATACTATGTAATAAAAAGACACTGAGCATCATCTGTTGTTTGAATGGGAGAGACAAAGGATGTTAAACTAATTTGCACAGTGTGCTGCCAGTTTCTGTGCATTGTTAAAGCAGCAACATAGACTGATTTCTTTGTGCAGTGTTGTACATTGCTGATTCATAACTAAGCCAAAACTACCGTAGCCTGTGGCGCCTCCTTTCTGTCTAATTTTTTTGTTGAGGTATGTTTGTTACCTGAAACGATGGATCCTGATTGGTCTTTGCATGTGTCAGGGATCGAAGGCCAACCTGGGCAGAGGAGAGACGAATGAACGCAGAGACGTTCGGCATTCCCCTGAGGCACAATCGAGGAAGAGGGGGTTTCCGTGGCCGAGGCTTCATGGGGCCCCGTGGAGGCCGTGGAAGACCGGTTAGCAGAGGTTCCTTTGGGCCACCACGGGGTCCTCCACCTGGTTTCAGAGGCGGATTCAGAGGTGGCAGAGGCAGCCGGGATTTCTCTGATTTTGAATACAGGGTAAATATATCACTTTCATGAGCTTTGAACAGTATATAGTATTATTGAAGTGCAATAGAAATGGTAGATGTCTGATGGCTGTTCTAACCTTTAGGCTTTTTGTTTGTCTGTTTTATCCAGAAGGATAACAAGGTGGCTGCATAGTACAGCAGCGATGGATCCACAAAGAATTATAGCCCCTCCTCATGAAATTATTCCAGCTCAAGAAATTTTCTTTGGTCTCTACATTTGACAGAAAGAATGAAGACATCCTCTCAGTCACCAGCAGCAGGGTTGACTGTTTGACATCAGGGTGTGAGAGTACAGAAGTTTAGTTTGATAAACAGTCACCAGACGGACAAGATGATGTGTAAATACCTTGCTTTGGAGTAACTCTGTATTTTTGCATCAATCAAGTTCATTTCTTACAGAAGTCGTATTTGATATTGAAAGCTGTATGCAGAAATCCCAGTGATACTGTGAGCGGATCACGGTTCATGTGATCAATAGCTTTATTTTTTACTTTATTTCAGTTTTTGATATAATATTTGTTGGCACCAAACTTCCTTTCATTGCCTGTTGCACCGTATTTCTCTCTGCTCAGACTTAGATTGGTTGCCATGTGTTCAGTATTTTTACCCAGTTTTTTTTTTTCCTTTTTGACATCCATTCATTCTCAAAGAAGTCGTGAGGTCAAAGCCAGCTGAAAAACAGAATCTAAACTGAATATCGTAATGAATGAATGTATATCTAGCTCATCTTCCACTTAGTGCCCTCCAGCAAATCATTGCTCGACAGACTCACTTTAGTTTTTAGAAATGTGTTTCAGTAGTTACAATCATTAGCTCATACTTTGACCCCTTAAACCTCCCACATCAGCTGAATTGTGTTTCTGCTTTAGGTTTGTAGCTGGACTTCTGCAGGCCTGGTGTAATGATGGCAGCCTAATGCATTCAACCAATAGGAGCCAGTCATTTGATTGACAGAGGGTGGTTTACAGCATTAGCTTTAGAAGTATTTGTTAACTGTAGATTTTTTTTTAGCGGGTCTGTTATATAGTTGACTAAAGAAAGAGCATTCCCATGATTTGTGTCAGTGAAAGAGAATCATCCATTGCTATTGACGCCTTTTTAGAAGTTGTTAGGAAAGGAAAGCCTTGAGTTTATTATTCAAAACCTGCAGTTAGATTGACTTTGAACAAGTTAGATTTGGATAAGAAATGCTCCGCTATTTTGCCAAAAAGAATATGTGAGAGATTGGTACAGCTAAAAATAATTGTCAGCCTATAGGTACATGTTTTCTTCATTTAGTACCTCTTAAATCTACCTTTCTATGTCCAAAACATACTGAGCCATCTGTTAAAGCATGTTCCTTTTGTTTTCAGCATCCTTTGATTTGTCTTGCAGTTGTGTCATCAACATTGTTTTTGTCTCTAGAGTCAACCGCTTTTCACTGCAAAACTCAGTACACTTGCAGTGTTGTGAGGATTGTTTACTGAAATTGGGAAATCTTGTAAATGGATTGAATGATGTCTCAAAGTGTATGTTCAATACAGACGGCAGCATTTCTGATAGATATCAGCCCTCTGGCTTGTTTGTAGCTCCTCTTGGTGCATTATTGTCAATGTGATTGTTCTCTGGAGTGAATTTTATGTGTTGTTTTTTTTTTTTTTTTTTTTACTGACGTGTGAACAAAGGGACAAGAACTGGATGTGGTGCCAGTGTGTTGGGGGGAGGTGGGACATTTTTTCTTTTTGGCTCTGATTTGTTAGTACTTTAGGGAGTGCCTTCAGAGTGGTCAGTTTTTTTACAGCTCTCCCTTTAACTTAAAGATTACCTTTTGACAAAAGTATTGATAGCACTACAGGGTGAAAGTAGATCCTTCTCTAAAGCTGTGGTTGTTTTAAAACAAAGCAGCCCAGTTGAATATGTGCTGTTTAACTGGATATTGCACAGACTGCTGATCACTGCATGATAGCCGTAGGAACCATCACTTTATATGGGCTTTCGCAATAACCAGCGAGATTGGATTTGAGACAAAAAGTATTACTGAGCAATTCAAAACTGACATGTTTTCATATGTTTGTTACTCCTTCCAGTCACTGGAATTGTAAACCAGGAATTGTTTTCTTGAGAATATCAGCAAAATTGAGTTTTTACGTCAAATAAAGAATTGTACAATATCACTGTTTGTATTCTTTTTAATACACATGTACCCGAAGAGTTTCCTTTAAACTATACCCACTGTTTTTGTATTTGTCAGAAAAGTTACAGAAATTGCCTGGTTCATATGTAAATTGTACTTAAGTTGGCAGGAAGACATTGCTTCTTTAAATATAAGAATAGACATGCATCCTACAGTTATTCCAAAAACATAAACTATAAAGTAGTAGTGTCACTTTCCCCAGAGTAAAATATGATTGCAGTTTTAACGTGTGCTTGGCGTATTTTATGTACAATATAAACAGAATCAATCACAGTGCATAGAAACATCTGACATTTTTTAATAAACATGAATCAGAGATTCAGTTCAGATACAATACAAGTAACCTATTGTATATCAGTAATCATTTATTTTTCCAAATACTTGATAGTTGTGTGGCACATGTACTTAAGTCCTACATCATATCAAGACTTGAAGCATACATGTAACTCCAATCAGTTTTCAGTGGTGATGCAACATCTACAATATAGTGCTTAGATACAGAGGTGTGGAGAGCCAGTGTTGACACTTGTGGAGGGTGCAACTGATCCTGAGTCAACTTTTACATTCTTGGCCTGAGGGTGGCACAAGTGAACATTTTGTGGAGTGTTAAAAATGGACAAGGTTATTTTTTGGGGTGACATAATGTGCCACTGGGTAATTAAAAGTCACATTTTTTGGCCTTTGTGTGGTGGGCTGAAATTAATGAAAGGTTAGAGAGGTCATCCAAAGCACTGGGATTCATCCTCTGTGGATGATGGACAGAGTAAAGACTGGAGGTAAAATTAAATAGTCCACATTACGAATATATACACTCTTTGAGTTAAAGAAAAGAAAGTCGTGGTTATCCAAAAATAATAGGCACCAGTGATTAATTAAAATTAATGCAGAGTTCATAAACTACGCTAAAACCAAAAGCAGTATTTTTGACTTTGAGAGTGACGGACCACCACTCTCCAGACGGTGGCGATAACGCAACAAGAACGAAACAGTTGTCCATCAAATACACTCGGAGAATAAGGGAGAGGACGCCGTTGAGAAACGTAAACAAATGGTAAACTAACTGTGACTACAAAAATGTCGATTGTCTTTGTGCCAAAGAAACTACGAGGAAAGGCGAAAGTCAACCAAGAGACGATACAGAGGGTAAGACACCAGGAAAGGGTATTTAACGAAGCAGCTAACGACATGTTAGCTCATATTCCCGTACTATAACAATGGTGTTAGCGTTAGCGTTTAGCCACTAGCTACTTCACTAGTTCATACATTCGTCCAGTCTGTGTTTACACTCACATTGACTTACACACGCTTACACAATTATTCGTTTTGTATTGTACTTCGTAAAAATGTTTCATGTTGCACATAGTGCTTTTATTGTTTCCTTTCCATCCATAATCACACCGTTACTGTGTTATCCAAGTAGACTACGTTAGCTACCGTATAACGTCATTCCTCTTTTGTCTCTTCTGTCCCAGTTGCTGGATGAAAACGACCAGTTAGTGAGATGCATCACTGAGTACATGCAGAAAGGTCGAGCAGTGGAGTGTGTACAGTAAGTCAAAACTACCCTCAATACCCTGTAGTTCATTTAACTGTTAATTTGCTACGCTATATGACTTGCAAGTGGTTAGCACAGTAATGATGCAAAACGCCCACACTTTTGTGAGTTGTGTTGTGGACAAATGTACGTCTATTTTTTCACCTGCCGTTTTTCTTCTTTCCCAACAGATATCAACAGATCTTGCACCGCAATATCGTCTATTTGGCAACCATAGCTGATGCCAGCCCTGACAACGTGCCCCTCTCCTCAAATGTAAATACAAACCACACGATGCTCGAGATTCCACTGCATTAATGATTCAAGTCGTAGTGTTCCCTTGACTAGTGACCTATTCCTAATACTATGATTTTCTTTCCTGTTTTCAGTCTACATCTAATGGAACTTTAGCCTCCACACCAACTGTGAATGGGCATGGACGCACATGATGATGGCAGCTTTTATCAGTGGTGCAGTTGTGTTGTACAAAATTATTTAATATAATAAGGAAATTTATGTGAAGCCTAATCTATTGTTTTCAGTCAGGTCACTTCTTTCAGGTTCACTGGTGTTTCAGTTCAGTAATGCTATATTGGATGTATATTATGTGAACAAATCTTTGAATTCAAACTATATTTTCTATCCTCTCAAATGAACATTAAAACATTTTTCCATTTTTTGGAAGAAGTAGTTGTTGAAATCATTCTGTGCGGAGACCACACAAAAACCCACTGACATGAAATGTTTCTTGCTGGAGCTTAGGACATTATTACATTTAAATGAGTCACTTTTCATCAGAAAAACAGCAAGAAAAAATGGCATTTTAAATTGCTAGTCATTTTTATTTGTTTTTTGCATTGCTGGTACACTTGGAAAGATTCAGTTGCCAGCTCAAGAGAACAATAAGCAACATAAGCCAAGCAGTCCCCCTTCATATCTTCTATCAGGGCAACATGTTTTTATTATTTTTTATCTTTTGTAGAAGCCACTAGTAAATCATTTGACACAGCTGAGAAGCTAACAGTTACAGTCCAAGGTCTGTAATGATGTCTTTAAAAAAGGCTGCAACAGTTAGGGAGATAACACAGACAAAAAGCAACAAACCCTATATCTTGATTGTGCAAAGCACATTAACTATAAAAAGATATATATTTATATGTATATACAGCAAACAATTTTCTGTAAACATGTTAAGTATGTTAGTTTTCTGAAAACATGGTGTCATTTCATAAATACAGGCAACATTGGCATCCGCAAACATCACAAAAAGATAACATTCTGGGCTTTTAAATACAGCCCATTGCCATAGAAACCGAAGAAACAAGGGCTCGAAAACACCCTCATCACATTGTTTTAGTGTTTAGCATGGCATATTTGGTAACTTTTATAGATAGATGGTGTAGTTCAACTCTGTAGGAAAAAAATGTGCTTTTTCACATATTGGGAGGTGGAAAATAATGTTTCATGTAATATGGCTACAAGAATACTAACATACAGTCATGGTATAACATGTAAGAAAATACAAAAATAAGATTAATACTGTCAATAATTGTACAAGAAAAATATTGTATTATTAAACAGAAGAAAAGTTAGGTTTATGGGAGTTAGTGTCAATCTGGAGCAAACAACCGCCAATTAGAGAGGAGGAAATGAATGCGCCTCTGGGTGTGAAGATATTCCCTAATGATCTCATCCAGTAGGGCGTGTAACTTCACTGTACATCAATTATCTCAGACCTCCTGCCTCTTCAGCACCATTCATCTTCTCAACAACGCTTTGGTTGGAAATTATATTCTGCAAGTGCTATCAATACCAACATGGCACATAGTTACTGCTATAATTCTTAACTCTTGTCAGTTGTTGAAAAAGTAGTGTATTTCTCTCAAATTACACCTCTGCAGTGACTTACTATATTTATGCTGAGCCTGCTCAAAGCCTCTTAATAAAAAGAACTAAATATTTATATTTCAACTTCAGTATTTTACAAGCTATGAAACAGTAGATGGTAGCTGTATTCTGAGTCATCTTGCGTGAGATTTGGCAGTTACAGCTATGTAGACACAGTATATTTATTATGGGCAAAATGAGAGCATTTCAAGCCCCTGCCCCCCTTGTAATCCCCCTCCTTTACACACACACATTTAGCTGCAGAAGCAAGTGGGTGACGGCCGTGCACGTCTCCAGCTCTTGTCTGAGGAGACGTCAGCTCAACAGACAGAGAAACGACCACTAGACTAACTGCTGCCAGCATGACACATGCACCTTTCGTAGTTAAAACATGGCAGTTGAAAAAACTTCAAAATACGTCTCTTTTTCAAATGGGGATGTTTGACATGGAAAAATATAGATACAAAAATGTAGAGCCAGTGTGTATACTTAATTTTGCCTCTGAGGCTTTGAAATCTTCCAATTCAGTGGGTGTGGACTGTAAAGGCTGCAGCTCGGCCCACTCAGTGGCTCATCTAACAGAGCTACAGGTCCTCTGTGGCACTTCACCGTGGACTCATTTGACATTAGATTGGTCAGTACTGGTGAAGGTAGGAGGGCCTGTGCTCATGTTTGAGGGGGAAGGATTTAAAGCCCTTGGTCATGGGTTTGTGTTGCTGCTGTTGCTGTTGCTGTTGCTGCTGCTGCTGCTGTTGCTGCTGCTGGGTGAAGGGAAAACCAGAGGAGATGCCGGTGGAGGGGGAGCAGTCGCTGGCAGTGGACCACACGGGAGACTGCAGCATCTGCATGGAGTCACTCCACTGGGAGGAAGCGGGGATGTTCATCTGGTACAAGGAAGAGCTGGGATTGGGCATGGTGTTGGTGTGGGTGGAGTGCTGCCACGGTGCTTTGGGAGGCCAGGTTTTAGTTTTGCTGTCCTGTGGAGTGTAGCAGACAGTGATCAGTTTATGTCAGCATGTAATCAAAAGTCATGCTTAAGAAATTACAACTGGTATTGCAACATGTATAACTAATTCTGATGTTTCATTGATGGAAAGAAAGCTGATAGGAAATCCACATTTGTTGTGTTTCTCAGGTGCCTCCACTTTCCAATTGTTATATTTAAAAAGTAAAAATACCGGTTTCAGGGCCCAAGGTGACTCAAATGCTCACATCGCTTCTTTTGCCCAACCACCAGTTCAAAACTCAAAGATATTCACAATTCACCATCACTGACAAGTGAGAAAAGCAGAAATAATCACATATGAAGATATGAAATTAGTGTAGTTTTCTTTAGACCGCTCTACTGGTGTGTGAGTGTGTACTTTTTCCCCAAACAAATCACAAAATAATTACATTTTGTATCACTTTGTCGAGCCAAGAAACAATTTCTTGACTCATATGGCACCTTTCCATGAGACCCAGGCTTGATGTAACTAATAATATTAAGTGTGAGCCAACTTGATTAGATTGTTTAGAGAGAAAACAACACCACAACTGAAAGCTTGAGACACTACAGATTTAGTCAAAGATCTTCAGCAACTTCTCAGATATCTCAGAAGTCTAATTTAAAAAAAAATTCAAAATACAATAAATAATAAAAATGTGAACAAATATTTTTTCCTCAAAAGAAGTTATTAAAAGTGGTTGAAAAATACTCTAAATGTTTAATCAAATGTGGGGTGACGTGGGAGAAGGAAAAACGGGAGAGTTCATACTTTACCTGGTTATCATCGCTGATGTGATGGAGTGGTGGTGAGGGCAGGGTGCATACCTCCGGCTCACCACAGCTGTGTTTTCTGAGGAGACATTAACAGTGAACCTCATCAGTGTTCACAAAAAGCATAAAGACTATTTGATCACAGCTGAGCTCCAAAAGGCATTTTCATTAAGATAACAAGTAAACTGACAAGACAAATCAACAACAGTGGATGAGTTTGAGACTCACCTCCTTTGTTTAACTGCCGCTACAAGGTCTGGCCCAGAAAACATGGAGAACAGACTATCGCCATTGGCGGAAGACGTCTCGTCGCTGGAGCTGGCTGAGTCCCCCTGATTGGCCGACCAGCTGCTGTTCACGGCCTCACTGAGGACACAACCAGAGGAGGTGTTAGCATTCTTTTATATTATACTGTCAACAATGTGCTATTAAAAGACATGACTGGACACAAGTTACTCAATGACATCTAAACACTTTAATGGCATACAGTTTAAGAAAATTATCTCATGGCGAACACTGTATGAAAGTGGATAAATATTGAAATTCTTTTCATAAACTACACATGGTTTAGAAGTGAGCTGTCACTGCAGTGATGGCTGCCATTTACTTCTGTGTACTTTCCTGAATTAGTCTCTAAGCATGATGTTGTCTCACACTTATGGGGAGAATTAAGTGACAACAGTCATGATAAAGGTGTTAAATTCATCACATATCGATGATGGCTGCTATATTAATAATTCAATCCTAACGTCACACAACACTACTGTGCACTATGATGAAACTAAGCTTTAAATAACCCTCCCACAGTTCAGCACTATACTGCTGCCAAAACTACATGATAAAACATTAGGGGTCTCGTGTCTGTGAATGTATCTTGTTTTTCATATTTATCCAATATATATATATATATATATATATACACACACACATTAATGATTGATTGATTTTTTTTTATTTTTTTATTTAAACTGAACATTTTTTGTGTATGCAGTGAATCAGAGGTAAAGGAGATGTCATGTATGGATACCTACCCCTCACTGTAATACTCAGGGTGGGACCAGGTCCTGTGCTGCTCATCAGGCATTGGCCAGTTGCTGCGTGTGTTGCTAGGGCGACGGATATGCTGCACCTGCCGTTTCTGCTGCATGGCCTGACTGACGCCGGCAACGTAACGTGCAAACTCTGGGTCAGAGCCAACTGTGCATGGAAAAGGAGGATAAACACGACTATGAGTTTCTGACACCCTCAGCTTTTCTCTTTGGCTCTCTGGAGCTCAATCTGTTCAGCCAGACTGTCTACCATAGCAGAAAAATCACAATAGCTGTAAGTCAACTCTGCACAATAGGCCGCGACTGCAATCAAAAGAGTCTGCTGCACTGTAAAAATAGAAACTGACACAGTTAACCTGTTCAGCATAAACCGTTAACTTACAGTCGCAGCCACATGCAGGGGGAAAATGCTCATACTATCTGACCTGTATTCATTATGTTACTCAGATCAGGGCCGACAGTGTCTGGAATCTGCTTGAACAATTACAAGATAGTATATAAACAGTAATAAATATAAGATTATTTTGGCTGTATGCTATTCTGCATTGTCAATAAAGATCTGCATTTCAATAAATAACTTTTTTACTTGTCAGCTGCTTACCCACTGCAAGCATCTTTATGGTTTCAAATGTGAACACTTGAGTTAACTCAGGACACCCACAACTCTGTTCTGTACATTAGTCCCCTGGTATACTGAACATCTAACTAATAACTGCACTGTAAGTCATAAAAACATTGGAAAGCGACTTCTCTGAGGGGTTTTTACAATGAAACAATAGTGCCAGCAAAGCTCCAGGCTAGCCTCCTCCCCCACTGCTGACATAATGCTCCATATCTGACTGAGGAGCATGCGAGGTCGAGAACAACTCTCCTTTTTAGGCTCTCTCTTCATGACAAAAGAGGTGGACATTCAATGATTTTTTAAAAATGCTGCTTGAAACCTTTACATCTTTCATTTTGGGAAGTACAAGT